GAAACTACATGTTGGACATAAAAAATATTAGTATCATGTAAAAGCTGAAGTCAATAGTAAACATTAATGTAAATATCAACGTCATCCGAGGCCAAGTTCCTTTGATAGATGCATTTAAAGATTTAAGGAAATTGCAACATTTCCTTTAATGTGACTCTGACATCATCAAATGTCACATGAATTGAAACCATTTATAAGTGCATTAATGATCTGAAAGTGGTATGGCGCTAAATCAATTAGGGTTTGGGATACAGCACTGCAAAAATGCCATTTTGGCCATATTTAGACCCCTATAAAATCAGAAGTTGTTGTTTGACCCCAAAGGTCAAAAGGTCATGAGAAGGTCAAGGACAGCCTTTATCACCATAGTCAATATAAAGGTCATCAAAGGTCAAGGTCATGAGTTATAAGCCTTCAAACTTTGAAAAAAACCTCAGGTCGTACAAAAAAGGCAAAACCGAAAATCAAAATTATGCTTCCCATTTTTTGTAGACAGACATTAAACGTATCGTATGACACAATAGTTATGCAAATCGGATGATAACTGGCCTCTGAATAGCAATTTCTGGAAAATGAGGCAAACCAAAATGACGGCCTACGTGTTAATTCCGGTGCGATTTTTTTTAGTTAAATAAGTTTGTATTAAGGCTGGTAATATAATGCAAATTTCATTTTGGACATAACTCAATTTCACCAGAAGTGATACCACCGGAAGTACTAACATCGAAACCGGAAGTGATAAAAAATTTTGAATGGGTGCTTTTATTCCACTATGCTGGCAGTCTACACCATATGAGTTTCAAGTCAATCCACCAAACTACAACCGAAATAGTATTTTCTGATTAATTACGGCAAAAAAAAGTATTGAACGAATTTTCTAAAATCGAAAATTTTCAACTGCTATCATTTGTCCTTTGTTACAAGAAATACAATGCAGGAAACCCGATCAAAATCGGTTGATAAACATGCCCTCTAGAGTCCATTTTCCGTTTGTTGCAATTTTGCATAATGTTGCTCAGAAAATTTTCGTTTTACATTTAAGCTGGGATTAGCCACGAGTTACGAAACGCCACGAAGCCCGTTTTCCCGTACCTGTTGCCGTTTCCGAGAAAACCGGCCTGCCGTGGACGAAAAAAAAAAAAAAAAAAAAATCAATACAAAAACAAAGCTTCCGAACGCCCTGCAACTACTAACTCTAGTGTCATAAATCCAATAAAGATAGAGAACAATATGTTTGAAATTGTAATACAAACATATTTAAGAACTGTTTTACAAAATTCCAGAAAGTTTTAAGTCACGTGACCTCTTGTGCTACACGAAAGATTCTGTATTAGCACTTAAAAACAAATTTTGGACCATTTTGCAAAGGGACATCACATTGAAATATTCCTAACACAATCTTGGAAGATTTTGCAACAAAATGACAGCATTGTTCTCACAAAAATATTAAAAATATATGAATAAGCAAGAAAACAAACCTAAGAAATGATGAGAGCACATTTTTCTCAAGTCGCCATGAAAATCGTGCACTATGACCTTCACCTAAACAGCAAATACTTTTTGGCACTGTCTGGACAACAAAGTCCAATACAAAATTTAAGAAGGGATTAAAAGTACTGATTAACTTGACTACTTGGGAAATTCTTTGCTGCTCTTAATAAGACTCAGATAGCACAATGTAGTCTGACTCTGTCTCAAGTTATTACCCTTGAATTAGGAAAAATATGTCATAATTTCTTTGTGAACACATGAGAGACTACTGTTTTTTATGATACACTTAAATTATGTTAAATATGGCTTGTGAACACAATAGAGGTGAAAGTTTATGTCAGCATTTTTATACGCCCACATGAAATGGGGGGCATATATTGCCGCCACCTCATTCCGTCTGTCGGTCCGTCCGTCTACAATTGCTCATAAACACTCTACAAGGCACAATTATTGACTGATTTTGAAAAACTTGGTATGGTTGTTTGTAATCACCAAAGGATGAACCCTATTGAAAATCAGAGAATCGAAAAAATTTACTATGAGTTATTGCCCTTGTTCTTGAAACGCTTGCAAGGTGCAAGGTGCAATTCATGACAGATTTTGATGAAACTTAGTATGAGTGTTTGTTATCGCCCAAGGATAAAGCCTATTGAAAATCAGAAAAATTGTAAAATATTTAGTATGAGTTATTGCCCTTGTTCTTGAAAACGCGTTCAATTTTTAGCTTGTAAACACTCTAGAAGGCACAATTCTTGATGGTTTTGGCGAAACTTGGCATGAGTGTTGGTTATCACCCATGGATAAACCGTATTGAAAAACAAATAAAGTGAAAAATATTTAATATGAGTTATAGCCCTTGTTCTTGAAAACGTGTTAAAATTTTAGCTTGTAAACTATCTAGAAGGGACAATTCTTGATGTATTTTGACGAAACTTAGCATGAGTGTTTGTTATCACCCAAGGATAAACCCTTTTGAAAATCAGACAAATCGGAAAATATTTAGTATGAGTTATTGCCCTTGCTATTGAAAACGCGTCCAATTTTTAGCACGTAATCACTTTGATGAAACTTGGTGTGAATGTTCATAATCACCCAAGGATGAACCCTATTGAAATTCAGAAGAATTGAAAAATATTTAGTATGAGTTATTGCCCTTGCTATTGGAAACGCGTTCAATTTTTAGCACGTAATCACTTTGATGAAAGTTGGTGTGAATGTTCATAATCACCCAAGGAATGAACCCTATTGAAAATCAGAAGAATTGAAAAATATTTAGTATGAGTTATTGCCCTTGTTCTTGAAACCGCTTTCAAATTTAGCTCTTAAACACTAAAAGGCATGATTCTTTCTGGATTTTCACAAAACTTGGTTTTATTATTCAGTCCTGAAGATTGAATATTTGCCTTCTTGAATATTTGTTTTCACAAGCTAAAGATTGAACATGTTTACAAGAACTAGGGCAATAACTCATACTCAATATTATTCAGTTTAAAAAGAGTGTATGACTGAAGGTTGAATATTTCTTACTAGTGATTGTTACTGTACTGCTAAATATTTATGTTAAAAATCAAAACTGCCAGTGGGCGTATATTACCTTGCCTGGCAAGCTATCTTATGAAATATTGTTTGTTGATTTTAATCAACAGTAGGCTATCTTGTACAAATTAGATTTTTGGTACAATTTAACACAAATTTGGTACCGCCCTTGATATACTGGGGAAGTGGGCGTATTTTGCCGGACCCAAAATCAAATCATTAATATCCTTTTGTGAAAAAGAAGAAAAGTGGTATAAGATAGAGTTCATAAAAGCTTGACATTCTCAAGATTTCTGTTAATGGGTCTAGAACCAGAATGAATATTGTAGCCAAAGTTTCAAAACCTGAGAGTGACAGATACTATGTCTTGTACTCTAAACTTGTCAAAAAAATTTTGTTTATCAATATAGTTACATTTATGCTACTGTTTGAAAAGTTTTACTGTTAGATATAGAATTACAATTAATTCACAATGTCCATGGACTAGAAAAGCAAAAGGGGACGTGATTCAAAGCTATTAAAAAAGCAAACATTTTTATAAAGATTCACTTGAAAAGATTGATACTTTATTACAGTATGCATAAAACTCGAGACCTAATTTGCTATATTTGTTATTTGTTTCATATTATAAATCCATTCCAACAACTTGTGTCTATTTGTTGACTAGTTGTGCACATGACAAATGAGGAGTTATAGAACATACAGTATGTAGGGTGTATCTCTTTAAATGTTAACTTGTTATTTTTTCTTATTAAAAATGTCAGACTGTTCTATCTTCAAGATGATTTATGATCAGAATAATTACATAAGTTGTGTAGTCAACTGTGTTTATGTATACAATATTTGAGGAATTTGTTGGTTTATGTTTTTACTCTTCTACACCTATTATATTTATATGTGATGATATCACATAATAGTCTAGTATTAGTGTTTTATAACCCACTATGTAAGTGTTTTTATTATTAAGGAGATGTTTAATGTTTTGTTATAGTAGTGAAATTGATTAGTGGAAAAGAGTATCATAAGATTCTCTGAAGTTTGAAAGTTACCTAGTAATTATAGTAGAATTATCAAATACTGGTATACATTTAAAAAAAAAAGGATGCATTATATGTAACCAAACATCTAAAAATAGTAGCTGAAGATATTAGGTTAGTTATTTAACTATGTGCACTCTATCAGTGATATATTGACTTCATCAAATGATCAAGGCCACTGCTCAATATTAATACACAAAAATTGTAAAAAAAGATAATTTTTAAGTGGATGAGTGAAATGAATGTATGTTTATGAATGAAATTGAAGGAACAGTTTAAGGAAAACCACAAAAAGTGAAGAAGATAGCTTTATAAATTTTTATTTGATAAAAGTAGGTGAATGTTACATAAAAGAATAATATCAATTGTTTATTAATAGTAGTATAGTTGTAGTTACTAATTTGAATTACAACAAGTGAATGGTTAATTCTATGTAGAAAGATATAAATTGTCCAGAAAAAGCAGAGTAGATTGGAGTATTGTTTATAATGAAACTATTACTTGTTAAGTCCCAAATCCTTGACAGAAAATTGGAATGTAGAACACTGTTATATATTGTGGAGATTTTTCTTATTCACTTTGCAGTCAATTTGTATTATATTTCAATTTCATCGTATTACTTGAATTGAAAATAGATGATTTTATACAAGATTTCTGTTCTCTGCTTGGACCTTGGCAAGTGCTTAGACTGTAGGAAAGTATTTTCTATAACACCCAATACTATTAAATTTCATGATGAAAACATTAGTCTATACAGTATAAGCAACATGAAGATATTGCTGATTTGAGTAGTAGAAAGTTTTTGATACACGGTGCCAATTTGTCAAACAACATTTCCCAGATCAGTAGCTCATACAGAATTTGATATGGTAACAAATCATAATTGAATCCTCAGTGAAAGCCTGTATAAGCACATATTTTTTTTATTTTAGGCAAGCCTGTAAACTTCATTTTGAAGTATCACCATTGAAGATTGTGCGAGCATCTAAACAATATATTTATGATGAAATTGGTACAGAATATTTGGATTGTATTAATAATGTATCACATGGTAAGCTACTCAATATAATCTGGAAGTTCCAAGAGTGAAAAAATATCAAATTAGGCAACGTTTCTGATGACACTTATCTGTTTCCAATCCAATACAGTTGATCTGAAATCAAAGTTATTGAAATTTAAGGCAATTCATTTCATTTACAGTTGGTCATTGTCATCCCCATGTAGTGAATGCAGGACAGACCCAGATGGGTTTACTCACAACTTCTAATGGTTTCCTGAATGATAATATGACAGAATATGCTAGACGTTTAATAGCAACTCTTCCAGATAAATTATGTGTTTGTTACTTTGTTAACTCAGGGTAAGAATTATATTTATATAAGTACCAGTAATGGACAAATTGATAATCTTACACAAAAATTTAGATTCCATTTCATTGCAGGGCGTTCGTAAGCGAACGCCCTGCTTTGTTTTCGAATTGATTTTTTTTTTTTTTTTTTTTCGTCTACGGCAGGCTGGTTTTCTCGGCAACGGCAATAGGTACGGGAAAACGGACTTCATGGCGTTTTGTAACTCGTGGCAGTTTAAATGTAAAACGAAAATTTTCTGATCAACATTACGCAACGTTGCAACAAACGGAAAATGGATTCTAGAGGGCGTGTTTATCAACCGATTTTGATCGGGTTTTCTGCATCGTATTTCTTGTAACAAAGGACAAATGATAGCAGTTGAAAATTTTCGATTTTCGAAAATTCGTTGCATACTTTTTTTGCTGAAATTAATTGAAAAATACTATTTCGGTTGTTATCGGACGGATTGACTTGAAACTTACGTGGTGTAGACCGCCAGCATAGAGACATAAAAGTACACATTCAATTTTTTTTGATCACTTCCGGTTTCAATGTTAGTACTTCCGGTGGTATCACTTCCGGTGGAATTGAGTTATGTCAAAAATAACATATGCATTATTTTACCAGCCTTAATACAAATTTATTAAACTAAAAAAATCCGCACCGGAAGTAACATTTAGGCCGCCATTTTGGTTTGCCTCATTTTGCAGAAATTGCTATTCAGAGGCCATTTTTAATCTGATTTTCGTAACTTTTGTGTCAAACGATACGTTTAATGTCTGTCTACAATCCTTAGGCAGCATAATTTTGATTTTCGGTTTTGCCTTTTTTGTACGACCGGATGTTTTTTTTTCAAAGTTTGAACGCGTATATCTCATGACCTTGACCTTTGATGACCTTCATATTTACTACGATGATAATATGTGATCTTGTCTATCTGATAACCTTTTGACCTTTGGGGTCAGACAACTCTTTCCGATTTTACAGGGGTCTAAATATGGACCATTTTGAGCCTTTAAAGTGCTATATCTCGGTCCCTAATAGAGATGTGGCAATAATTCTTTCGATTTTGTAATGTAGAGATTCTGAGGTTTCCAGTGATATAATACATGCATGCCTTACATGCAAATTCAAAACCCCATTCACTTAATATGGGACTATTATTAGATAAATCGGCTAATTAGATTAACCTGGCTGTCAACCCCAATATAAATCAAAGTTTAAGTAGTTTTAAAGACACCCTCCCTTTTATATTTCTTTAAAATGTTTTGTGTCCAGTCAAGGTATACAGATAGGTTCTAGGGTGGATTGTTATACTGAAAGTTAAGCTTACGGAAGCACATTAAAGGCATACCCCCACTTAATTTCTAATCTAATTAGCCTATTTATCTAATAATAGTCCCATGTTAAGTGAATGGGTTTTCGAATTTGCATGTAAGGCATGCATGTTATATATCACTGGAAAGCTCAAGATCTCAGCATTTTGAATCCGACAGAATTATTGCTCTACCTCTAATAGGGCACATGTTAGGACACTTTAAAGATGCAGACTCAACTTCCAGTGACACCCATAAAACCGAAACTACGTGTCGGACATAAAAAAAATTAACATCATGTAAAAGCTGAAGTCAATAGTGATTATTAATGTAAATATCAACGTCATCCGAGGCCAAGTTCCTTTGGTAGAAGCGTTCAAAGTTTGAAGGAAATTGCAACATTTCCTTTAATGTGACTTTGACACGATCAAATGCCATATAAATTGAATCCATTTATAAAGTCCTTTAATAACCTGAAAGTAGTATGTCGCTAAATCAATTAGGGTTTGAGATACAGCACTGCAAAAATGCCAAATTGACCATATTTAGACCCCTATAAAATCAGAATTTGTTGTTTGACCCCAAAGGTCAAAAGGTCATGAGAAGGTCAAGTTTCTGCAAAATGAGGCAAACCAAAATGGCGGCCTAAATGTTACTTCCGGTGCGAATTTTTTTAATTTAATAAGTTTGTATTAAGGCTGGTAGTATAATGCACATGTTATTTTTGAGATAACTCAATTTCACCGGAAGTGATACCACCGGAAGTACTAACATCGAAACCTGAGGTGATAAAAAATTTTTGAAAGTGTGCTTTTATTCCACTATGCTGTCAGTCTACACCATGTAAGTTTCAAGTCAATCCGCCAAATAATAACCGAAATAGTATTTTTCGATTAATTTCGGAAAAAAAAAAATTAGAACGAATTTTCGAAAATCGAAAATTTTCAACTTCTATCATATGTCCTTTGTTACAAGAATTACGATGAAGAAAACCCCATCAAAATCGGTTGATAAACACGCCCTCAAGAGTCCATTTACCGTTTGTTGCCAACGTTGCTAACGTTGCTCAGAAAGTTTTCGTTTAACATTTAAGCTGGGATTAGCCACGAGTTACGAAACGCCACGAAGTCCGTTTTCCTGTACCTGTTGCTGTTTCCGAGAAAACCGGCCTGTGCTGGACGAAAAAAAAAAAAAAAAAAAAAAATCAATACGAAAACAAAGCAGGGCGTTCGGAAGCGAACCAATTTTTGTTGTGTGCATGCGCATTACCAATTTTCTTATTTCTTATCCGGATTTCATGAAACTTGGTCTTTATTAATTGACAAACATTCTTTTATTCCTAGTAAATATACTTTAAACTCCAGGCACTTTTGGATATTTGCATTTAGAGATGCAGAAAAGTATTTACATCAATGTTATTGCAATAGACCATCTTCGTATGTACCTGAATGTCGTAACCCGCCCTGCATCAGTACTGTTATTAGAACAGTTCTATTTTTTTTTTTTTTTTCGTCCACGGCAGGCCGGTTTTCTCGGCAACGGCAATAGGTACGGGAAAACGGACTTCATGGCGTTTTGTAACTCGTGGCTAATCACTGTTTAAATGTAAAACAAAAACTTTCTGAGCAACATTACACAACGTTGCAACAAACGGAAAATGGACTCTAGAGGGCGTGTTTATCAACCGATTTTGATCGGGTTTTCTGCATTGTATTTCTTGTAACAAAGGACAAATGATAGCAGTTGAAAATTTTCGATTTTCGAAAATTCGTTGCATACTTTTTTTGCCGAAATTATTCGAAAAATACTATTTCGGTTGTTATCGGACAGATTGACTTGAAACTTGCGTGGTGTAGACCGCCAGCATAGAGACATAAAAGTACACATTCAAAATGTTTTTATCACTTCCGGTTTCGATGTTAGTACTTCCGGTGGTATCACTTCCGGAGGAATTGAGTTATGTCAAAAATAACATATGCATTATATTACCAGTCTTAATACAAACTTATTAAACTAAAAAAATCCGCACCGGAAGTAACATGTTGGCCGCCATTTTGGTTTGCCTCATTTTGCAGAAATTGCTATTCAGAGGCCATTTTTCATCCGATTTGATCGGGTTTCTTTCATTGTATTTCTTGTAACAAAGGGCATATGATAACAGTTAAAAATTTTCGATTTTCGAAAATTCGTTGCATACTTTTTTTGCCTAAATTAATCGAAAAATACTATTTCGGTTATTATTTGTCGGATTGACTTGAAACTTACATGGTGTAGACCGCCAGCAAAGTGGAATAAAAGTACAAATTCAAAATATTTTCATTACTCATTCGATTTTGTAATGTAGAGATTCTGAGCTTTCCATAGATATATAACATGCATACCTTACATGCAAATTCAAAACTCCATTCACTTAACATTGGACTATTATTAGATAAATCGGCTAATTAGATTAACCTGGCTGTCAACCCCAACAGAAATCAAATTTTAAGTTGTTTTAAAGATACCCTACTTTTTATATTTCTTAAAAATGATCTTTGTCCAGTTATGGTATAAGATTAAGCTCTCAGGTGGATTGAATCATGTCATATTGTAGTTTAAGCTCACGGCAGCATATTGAAGGTATACCTCCAATTAATTTACCAACTTTCTCATTTCTTATCCGATTTTCATCAAACTTGGTATATATGTATATAATCAAATTCTAAATTTGATGGAATTATCGAATTTGCGTAGTGCGCATGCGCATTGCCAACTTTCTTATTTACTATCCGATTTTCATCAAACTTGGAATGTATGTGTATAATCAAATTCTAAATTTGATGGAATTATCGAATTTGCGTAGTGCGCATGCGCATTGCCAACTTTCTTATTTACTATCCGATTTTCATCAAACTTGGTATGTATGTGTATAATCCAATTCCAAATTTGATGGAATTATCGAATTTGCGTAGTGCGCATGCGCATTGCCAACTTTCTGATTTACTATCCGATTTTCTTCAAACTTGGTATGTATGTGTATAATCAAATTCTAAATTTGATGGAATTATCGAATTTGAGTAGTGGGCATGCGCATTGCCAACTTTCTGATTTACTATCCGATTTTCATCAAACTTGGTATGTATGTGTATAATCAAATTCTAAATTTGATGGAATTATCGAATTTGCGTAGTGCGCATGCGCGTTACCAACTTTCTTATTTCTTATCCGATTTTCACCAAACTTGGTATTTATGTGTATAAAGAAATTCTAAATTTGATGGAATTATTGAATTTGCGAAGTGCGCATGCGCATTACCAACTTTCTTATTTACTATCCGATTTTCATCAAACTTGGTATGCATGTGTATAATCAAACTCTAAATTTAATGGAATTATCGAATTTGATAGAAATATTGAATTTTTGTTGAGCGCATGCACATTACCAACTTTCTTATTTCTTATCCGGATGTCATCAAACTTATTCTTTATTAATTGACAAATATTCTTTTATTCCTAGTAAATATACTTTAAACTTCAGGCACTTTTGGATATTTTCATTTAGAGATGCAGAAAAGTATTTACATCAATGCAATTGCAATAGACCATCTTCGTATGTACCTGAATGTCGTAACCCGCCCTGCATCAGTACTGTTATTAGAACAGTTCTAGTTTTTTTTTCCATTTTTACACACCTTCCTGAGTTTAGACTACAATAGTTGCAGCAACCTTTCAACATTCACGGACCTTAGATATAGGCGACGATGTGCATAAATATATTTTGGATCTTTTTTGCAAAACCGGAAGTGCCACAGTTCAATATGTGCAAGAATAGATAATCAGCTCCAGAAGTCGTATTTTTCGGTCAATTTTCTTTGGGTTTTCATTTTTGAAATCTACTGGCAAAATCTGAAAGAATAGCAGTTTCAAAATTTCAAAATTTGATAATTTGTCGCAGACATTTTTTTTGCCAAATTTTGCATTTTTTTCATTTTTTTGGCTTTTTGTCTGATTAATCTGAAAAAAATTGAGCAAAGACAGTTTAAGAAAGTAAACAAAATGGTACAGTCAAATTTTCAATTTCACTTCCAGTTTAAACAGGAAATCGATGTTCACTTCCGGTTGAATATCTTCCGGTGTAATGTGTATAGGACAAAAAATTTTATGCTGATAGGTAGACAAAGTTATGACAAAAAAACGAAGAAAAAAAAATCCGCAACAGACGTGAAACTTTGGCCGCCATTTTGATTTTTCTGAAATGATTTGATTTTTATTCAGACATAATGGCTCATCCGATTTAAATGATTTTGGTGTCAAATGAAAGAAGATAAAAAAAAAACATGACATTAGGAAGCCGTTTTTCAATTCTCAATTTTGCTTTTTTGCAACATCCGGTTGAATTTTTTCAAAGTTTGAAGGGTCATATCTCGTGATCTTGAACTTTGATGACCTTGACCTTCATAAGGTCAAAGGTCATTGACCTTAGCTATCAGTTAATACTTTGACATTTGACCTGCGACATGTACTTCCGGTTTTATAGCTGTCCGAAAACAGCCAAATTCGCAACTTTGGACTGCTCTAGCACATGACCTAATTAACCTAGAGGGTTAATTTTTTCGGATTTTCATGTTCATGCAAGTAATTTATAACAATCGTTTTTTAAATCAAAATTGAAATTCGTGAATTTTTCAAATTTGAGTTTAGTTTTACCATATTTGTGTCTTTTTGATCTTCGTGTATGTATATCTTATGACCTATTCTATGTAGAACCTTGATATTTGGAATACAACTAGATACTTTGAATATGAATTCACCTATGACAAAAAAATTGGGGTGGGCGTGGCACATCCGGGTTGAATTACTAATTGTTTACATTTTGCGGCTGGGGCATAACTCGCATAGGATGCGTTTGTTCAAAAAGGGACTTTGCACACAATTACCTCATCTTTTTGGCCAGTTTGTGTTAACAGCTCAGTTGTTTCAGCTTTATAGTTCCAAAAAAGGAACGGGTTTTAACATTTGGATATTTTCATTTTTCGATTTTGACCTTTATTGACATTTATTGACCTATATCTTTTGACCTGAATAATGTAGAAGCTTGAAATTTAAAACACAACGTAACATTTGGAATATCATTTACCCTATGCAAAAAAATTAAGGTGGGCGTGGCACATCCGGGTAATATTACTCATTATTGATATTTTTGGCCAGGAGCATAACTCGCAAAGTATACGTTTGTTAAAAATGGAACTTTGCATACAATTATCTCATGAATTGAGCCACTTTGTCTTAGAAGTTCGGTTGTTTCCGCTTCTTAGTTCAAAAAAAGGAACAGGTTTTGGAAATTCAAAATTTTCAATTTTTGACCTTGACCTTTGATGACCTTGACCTTCATTGGGTCAAAGGTCATTGACGTTGTCTATTAGTTTATGCTTTCATATTTGACCTCTGACGTCTACTTTCGCTTTTATAGCTGTCCAAAAACATCCAAATTCGCAACTTTGGACTGCTCTAGCACGTGACCTAATTAACCTAGAGAGTACATTTTTTCGGTTTCCTAATGTGCTTCTCGTGTACTTTACATAGATATATAACAATCGTTTTTTTAAAGCAATATTGAAATTCGTGATTTTTTCAAATTTGAGTTTTTTTTTTTACAATATTTGCGACTTTTTGAGCTTAGTGTATGTATATCTTATGATCTATTTGATGTAGAACCTTGATATTTGGAACTAGACACTTTGAATATGAATTCACCTATGACAAAAAAACTTATGTGGGCGTGGCACATCCGGGTTAAATTACTAATTGTTTACATTTTGGGGCTGGGGCATAACTCACATAGGATGCGTTTGTTTAAAAAGAGACTTTGCACACAATTACCTCATCCTTTTAGCCAGTATGTATTAACAGCTCAGTTGTTTCAGCTTTATAGTTTCAAAAAAGGAACGAGTTTTAACATCTGGATATTTTCATTTTTCAATTTTGACCTTTTTTGACTTTTGTTTACCTATATCTTTTGACCTCTATTATGTAGGAACTTGACATTTGGAACATAACGTAACATTTTGAATATTGATTAACTTCTTCTAACTTTTCTTCGGGTTTTCATGTTTACAATCTACCTGTAATTTCTGACCTGATAGCACTTGAAAAATTACGAAATTCGAAAATTCGTCGCTCACTTTTTTCGATCAAATTTTTCAATTTTTTTGCAACTTTTTTGCTTTTGCATCGATTGATCGGAAATTTAATATGCAAAGGGACATCACCAAAGCAAATAATATGTAGTTGTCAAATATTTAACTTTACTTCCGGTTTTAAACGGGGAATCAATTGAAAGTACAATCCACTTCCGGTCGAATAACTTCCGGTGTAATTGAAATAGGTCAACGAAATTTATGCTGATCGTAAGTAAATGCTAATACAAAAAAACGAAGAAAATAAAATTCAGACCGGAAGTGATACTTTGGCCGCCATATTGAAAAAACACACTTTTGTAAAACTCAAAATGGGGCCTCAGGGTAAATGTTGATATACTCAAATTTGATGTGAATGTATTCCGCAATCGATTGCGCAAAAAACATTGGGAGCCGAATTTTGAATTTCGCTTTTGCTTTTTTGCAACTTCCGGTCGAAATTTTTTCATGCTTTAAACGATCACACCATGTGACCTTGACCTTTGATGACCTTGACCTTCATAGGGTCAAAGGTCATTGACCTTGGCTATCATTTGATACTTTGACCTTTGACCTCCGACATGTACTTCCGGTTTTATAGCTATCCGTAAAAAGCCAAATTCGCAACTTTGGACTGCTCTAGCACGTGACCTAATTAACCTAGAGGGTTAATATTTTCGGTTTCCTAATGTGCTTTTCATGCACTTTACATAGATATAGAACAATTGCTTTTTTAAAGCAAAATTGAAATTGGTGATTTTTTCAAATTTGAGTTTTGTTTTACCATATTTGTGTCATTTTGATCTTGGTGTATATATATCTTATGACCTATTCTATGTAGAACCTTGATATTTGGAATACAACTAGACACTTTGAATATGAATTCACCTATGACAAAAAAATTGGGGTGGGCTTTGGAAATTGAAAATTTTCAATTTTTGACCTTGACCTTTGTTGACCTTGACCTTTGTAGGATCAAACGTCATTGGCATTGGCTATCTATTTGTACTTTCATATTTGCTGTCCTATGTCAACTTCCGGTTTTATAGTCGTGTGCAATTTGAAATCTTGATGACGTATATCTCTTGATCTTGACCTTTTTAGACTTTCTCTTTTACAAGATCAAAGGTCATTGACCTTGGCTATCTGCTGATACTTTCATTTGTGAGGTCTGACGTCTACTTCCGGTATTAGAATCTTCTAAAAAATGAAAATTTCTCAACTTTAGACTTTTCTTGCGCTTGATCTAATTATCATGGAAGGATGATTTTTTCGGGGTCTTTTGCAATTTGCTACATTTGCAAAGTCCCACTCTGTGCCACGAGTGGCTCTAGTTGTCTTTGTTTTTGAAAATGTGTTCAATTTTTAGCATGTAAACACTCTAGAAGGCACAACTTGGAGTTTGTTGTCACCCATGGATGAACCTTGTTGAAAATTAGAAATTCAAAAAATATTTATTGTGAGTTATTACCCAAACGTTTTCAACTTTTAGTTTGTAAACATTAAAAAAGGCATGATTCTCTCTGGATTTTGAAAAAACTTGGTAATATTATTCAGTATGGCCAAAAAATTCAAAAGAAGTGTATGACTGAAGGTTGAATATTTCATACTGGTGATTGTTACTGTACTGCCAAATATTTTAATTTAAAATCAAAGCTACCAGTAGGTTTATATTACCTTGCCTGGCAAGCTATCTTCATTATGAAGAACATTCATAACATAGGTAACTGGCTCAATTTCATGAAGAATTGAATTGATGATCATGTATGCATTTTTTTTAGGAATTTTTACTGTTTTTCCAAACATTACTGAAATACCAAATTTAAGTGAAATTTACGATTGTAGGTCAGAGGCAAATGATTTAAGTCTAAGATTAGCTCGAGCATACACAAAGAAAGAAGATGTCATGGTGTTAGAAAAGTAAGTAAATTATGGTCACGATTTATATTCAACCTTAAGGGTTATTCAGCCCCAATTACTTGTCTATTTGTCAAGTAGCTCAGACACAGAAACAAACTCTTAAAGCAATAGTGGAAATTAACTTATAACTACATTCTTTCTCCTGTTCTCCTATGTAGACATCAACAGTGCAACACCTGTGGTGGAGCAAGACATTTCCTTGATTTTTAATTTAATTATGTTAAATTACCATTGTCTGAAGTTTTTATTATTATGACAAAACACCCCAGGGAATTGACACATATTCTTCTGTCAGGAAACTCGGGGTATTAATTGTTATAACAGATGTAAAATGCCTTTCACGGTCAAGACATGAAGACTGACTGACAAATTGTTTACATGTTTTTATGTTTTTAATGTTGAACAATATCAAATACTTGTCTGAGTTAAGATGACCTGGTGATAAATAGTTTTGTCAGTAAAGTAGACTAATAACTAAGGACACCAGATTCTGCTTTATTATTAAAACTTGAATTCATCTTGAGGCTCATTTTGTGAACAAATCCATCATTAATACGCACTATATAGTTGTCGCCTCTTTCTGTCCACAATTGTTGTGGACATGATAGAGAGCTACTTTCTTGAAGGATTTTGATGAAACTTGGTGTGAATGTTTGTAATCACCCTATTCAATCCTATTGAAAATCAGACAAATCCAAAAATATTTAATAAATTATTGACCTTGTTGTGGGAAAAATGGAGAGCTGGTTTCCAAAATGTTACTTTTGGAATGTTTCTTACTGATAGCTGAAGTTAACGTCCAATGGCTGTTATTACAATTGCTATTATTACATTCCAATTTTGATTCTAAATATTCTTAAACTAACACCTGTCTTGTGATGGAATCTAGCTTTAATATGATAATGGGAAATCAAATTCAATGTTTCCATTTGCTAACATTTCTCATTATCTTAAAAACTCTATGTATAATCTGAACTTGAACTTAATAAATGTGTCAAGGCCATGGCTTTGAAGTACTTAACTGTGTATTACCATCTTATTACTCTTAATGGCGTGAAGAAGGAATTTTTATTTGACTAGAGGTCATCTCATACTACTAACACATATTCCAGTTACAAAATTCTCATCTGGACACTTCTTTTTTGAGGTTAACTTCCCAATATGGGACTAAAATTGTGAGGGAACGTACTAAACAGTAGCAATAATTCAATATTGAGAATATTCTTAGTAAAAAGACTCCCACTGGTGTAGCCACTAGTAACACATAAGTTCATCACAAGTGTTTTTTTTATACGCCCACATGAAATGTCCACAATTGCTTGTAAGCACTCTACAAGACACAATTCCGGACGGATTTTGACAAAACTTGGTATGAGTGTTTGTAATCACCCAAGGATAAACCCTATCGAAAATCAAAAAAATTGAAAAATATTTAGTATAAGTTATTGCCCTTGTTCTTGAAAGCGTGTTCAATTTTTAGCTCGTAAACACTCTAGAAGGGACAATTCTTGACGGATTTTAATGCAACTTGGCATGAGTGTTTGTAATCACCCAAGGATGAATCCTATTGAAAATCAGAAGAATCGAAAAATATTTAGTATGAGTTATTGCCATTGCCTTTGTTCTTTAAAACGCTTTCAGCTTTTAGCTTGTAAACACTCCAGAAGGGACAATTCTTGACGGATTTTGACAAAACTTGGCATGAGTGTTTGTTATCACTCAAGGATACCCCCTATGGAAAATCAGAAAAATCGAAAAACATTTAGTATGAGTTATTGCCCTTGCTCTTGAAAACGCGTTCAATTTTTAGCTTGTAATCATTTTAGAAGGCACATTTCTTGACGGATTTTGATGAAACTTGGTGTGAATGTTCGTAATCACACAAGGATAAACCCTATTGAAAATCAGAAGAATCGAAAAATATTTAGTATGAGTTATTGCCATTGCCTTTGTTCTTTAAAACGCTTTCAGCTTTTAGCTTGTAAACACTCCAGAAGGGACAATTCTTGACGGATTTTGACAAAACTTGGCATGAGTGTTTGTTATCACTCAAGGATACCCCCTATGGAAAATCAGAAAAATCGAAAAACATTTAGTATGAGTTATTGCCCTTGCTCTTGAAAACGCGTTCAATTTTTAGCTTGTAATCATTTTAGAAGGCACATTTCTTGACGGATTTTGATGAAACTTGGTGTGAATGTTCGTAATCACACAAGGATAAACCCTGTTGAAAATCAGAAGAAATGAAAAATATTAAGTATGCGTTATTGCCCTTGTGCTTTCAAATTTAGGTCTTAGACACCAAAAGGCATGATTCTTGCTGGATTTTGACAAAACTTGGTTTTATTATTCAGCCCCGCACTTAGGATTGAATATTTGCCTTCTAGAGTTTTAACGGGCAAAAAATTGAACACGTTTTCAAGGGAAATAACTCATACTCAATATTATTCAGTATCGCCCTTAAGAGTTCAAAAGAAGTGTATGACTGAAGGTTGAATATTTAATACTGGTGATTGTTACTGTACTGCTAAATATTTTTATTCAAAATCAAAGCTGCCAGTGGGCGTATATTACTTTGCCTGGCAAGCTATCTTAACCTTAGTCTCTGTTTTTTGACCACAATCCAATAGAGCAAATTTTGATTTGTTACTGTACAGGATCAATCTTTTAAACTATTTATTCTAGTGCATTCCACGGTAACCTTGGTAACTTAATAGATATTAGTCCACTGAAATATAAAAAACTTAATGTGAAGAAGAAAGACTGGGTACATGTGGTAAGTTTATCATGTAACATTATAACATGTCCGTCAATCCGTCAACATTTGCTTGTAAACACTCTAAAAACTAGATTTTTTGATTGAATCAAATGAAATTCGGTATGTGTATACATATTCATAAAACGAAGATCAAGTTCGAATTTGAGCTATTTTCGACTGTTAGAAGCAGGGTTATTGCCCTTGCCCCAAAATCTTGAATATGCTATTACTCTCATAGTTTTGAAGTTGGCTGTGATCCACTATCTTTGTTTTAAATAATTAATAAGGTAATGATAGGCCACTAATTCATGTGGTTACAAAATTGCCCTCTAGTAATAGTACCAATATTCTTTCAAACTAAAAAGTGTATAAAATCTATTATAGGTATCATGTCCTGATACATTTCGTGGTAAATATAGAGATGAACAAACTGCAGCTCTATCTTATGCTAATGATGTTCAGACAGCTTTACTAGAAATACAACGTAGAGATAGAGGGGTAAGGTTTAAACAAGTTCAAGATATATAACCAAATATATATTACAATTCAAAACAAGTAGAAGGTTTTAAGCTAAATGACCAGAGGCCTGAAACTAAATAAATTTTGTTATAAGATTAATGTATCTTGCAAATTGTAAATCTGATATATATTTATAAAAGATTTGAATCGAAGTACTTCTTGTATATTATAATTAATTTATACATAAATATGTTCTGTCAACTCTTCTTTACAGTTAGCTGCATTTATCTGTGAACCACTAATATCTAATTGTGTAGTCACATTCCCTAAAAATTACTTAAAAACGGTGTACAGGTATGTAGAAGTACTTTGGGTGTGGTCAACCAGATTAAAGTATACGTCTTTGTTTTTGATATTTCTGCATCATACTCTCTGTAAATCTGAATTAGCTAATTCTTAAGGACATGTAATCAATGGGTTATTTGCATTATCTGCTGTTCATAGCACCTTTTATATCAGAAATACATACTGTTCATCCATAATGAAACCAAAATAAAGGTTAGATAATATTTGAAAATACGATTAAACCATACTTTTATGCAGTCATTTTCTGATCAACCTGAAATTTTCAATTCATAATAAGTAAATTGTTATAGCATTGTCTTGATAAAATTTTGAGAAGCATGTTGTGATTTTGATTATCTTCATTATAAATTCTTTTAAGAAATTGTGTTAAATAGAACCAATATAGTTATAGAAAGTAGGTTTAAAGACAGTGTGACCAATGATTTTATTAATGAAAAAGATACCATAGAGAGGTTTTGTTCTATTTATAGTCTCAATCATTCTTATTTACAATATTCTAAAATGGATTAAAAGATATTCTTGCTATCTAGTTGATAGAGCTTAATATTGTACCTTTCAGAATTATTTAAATTTACAGAGCCCTTATGAGAACACAAAAACCTACCATGAAAATATGATTATACTTATGGGTAGTTATTAACATTATCGCATGTAGATATTGCCAATAAGATCATATTGACAGTCTACTTACATAAATTTGTTCTATTAAGTTTTTGACAGACCTGAAATCTGTTTTAGGTTGTTAACAAAAAAAAAAAACACAGCTCAAATCAAGTTTTATTAGCTAGTATTGTAAATGATTATATGGTTTTATAACTGTACAGAGATAAGATATGATGGTCAAACAGCATTAGTGAGTCTATAGGTTTCAGTATTGTACAAGGGTAAGGTGTGGTGATGTAACTGATATCAGAATGTAGTAAATGAGATAGGAAGAACATCATTCAGGAGAAAGATAGTTCCAATCTTTGCTGTAAATTTTGTTGAATATTTTGTAGATCTGTAAGAGATCATGGTGGAGTATGTATAGCAGATGAAGTACAAGTCGGTTTGGGTAGAACAGGAGAATTTTGGGGATTTCAGATACATGGTAAGCTTCTAAAAATGGTTCAATGGTTCAACAAATTAGTAATTAATCTCATTAATCCTTTCAATGTTTATTTATAATGACCAGAGATTCAATGTGTCCTGTAATGTTTTTGGTCTTAAAATTTAAAGGAAAGTCTGTTCAAGGAACTCCCAGTAATCTAACATGGCAGCTCATAGCTATATTGAATCTTGCTGTTATTAGTTTGATCATCTATCTCATTGTAGATGTCGTGCCTGATATAGTTGCTATAGGAAAACCAATTGGTAATGGCCATCCAATGGCTTGTGTTGTAACTTCTAAAGAAATTGCAGATTCATTAGCAGAATATGGTAGTTCAGTAAGTTCAAATTGATCATTAATTAGCTTTTCTTCAACAATTCTTCAATAATTCTTGGCTTGCAACATCAGCCTTTTGGTTTGTTTATTACGAGCTCTTTGCTTGAAAACCGAGAATGTCCATCCATATAAAACTGTAATGCAACTTTTTTGTAAGAACAAGGAAGTCTCTTATATGCTATATGCATGTAATCCTTTCAATGTCATGTTGACAGATATTATTCATACATACAGAAAAACATTTATCATATGCAAAACTAGTCTTAGAGTTTTGATGAAAATTAATGGTTTTTAAAAGAAAGATAAATCATTGTTGAATAAAAATCTTTAATTCTATTGTTTATGTGTATGAATTATGTATTTTCACCACAATTTCTGTCTTTTTTATATTAGAATGTTACACTTACAAAATTCTTCACTGTTAAAATATTCTCAATACATCAATTATAGAGCAATATAGAAATATAAAATAGAACATGACACTTGTTACTCAGAATTTACCATAATCTTTAAACAAACATTTGGAATTGTCTTAAAATGTAGACATGAGAATAAATTCTAGTTGTCAACTTCAGTAGGGATGCAGGCTGAGATTGTCCAAGATTGCATGTCGTGAAACTAGGTAAGAATATGTTTCAGATTCTGTTTATCATAATGTTCTAGAATATTGTGCTTCTGATTTGTGTGTATTTGTTATATATTTTAGTTTGGGGGAAATCCTGTATCATGTGCTGTTGGTATGGCAGTATTAGATGTTATACAGAATGAGAAACTACAGTCAGCAGCTAGATCTGTTGGTAAATGTTTAATTGATGGTTTCCAAGCAATTCAATCTAGTCATTGTATGATGGGAGATGTCAGGTTAGTCTATACTGTTTTGCAGTTTAATCCATTTCATTTTCTAACTGAACTTTTGTTAAGTCTTACCTTACATTAATCCTGTTGATTGTTTTAACAGGGGTCAAGGTATGATTGTAGGGGTGGAATTAGTCATGGATAAAGAAAGTAGAAAACCTGCTAAAGAAGCAGCTGAAATTTTATGTTACAGGTGAGTTAAATTCCTGTTGCAATTTCAGTTTCATTTCAATTTTAGTCTACATTGCAAATAAGCATATTGATACTTTGACAGAAAACATAAAACAATATGAGGAATGGTGACAGGTTTAAAAAAAGATACAGAAAATATAACTATATAGTGTAAAATTTTAATACGTATATTTTAGAATGAAAGCAGAAAATATAATAATAGCTCATGATGGACCAGACAGTAATATAGTGATTTTAACACCACCGTTATGTTTTAACTGTGATAACGCTCGACGTGTTATACAGGCCTTTGATAACATATTACGCAGTATTGAAGCAGAAGCAGCAAGTGTAGGACTGACAAATAATGGTCATTCTACATCAGAACCATTAGATGTTCCATTAGATGTCCTTACAGAGGGTATTCATAATATATCAGATGAAACTGAGTCTCCAGATGAGAAGAGGGCACGTTATGAAGAAATGGATTAAAATTCAATGTTTTGTTGAAAAAATTTCAATAGACTTTCCAGGCTACTGAAAATTTTCAAAGCATGATGTTTTAAACTCAGAGTACTGCCAAGATTTGTTTTGAGTATATGAAATACAGATTTGTATCAATACATGTAATGAGACGCAATAATCAAAAATACAACCAAATTAATATCAAACTTTGATAAGAATTAGGTATCAAGTTGTGGAGGTAGAAATACAAGATATGAAATTAAGAATCTAGAAAAGATTGAGATTATAAGAAGTTTTGTTGTGATAATGTAGACTATTGTTTTATTGTAAATATAGGTGATTTTATTCCTTAATGTTGTAGCTTGAATCAGAATTTCATACCATATAATGACATATCAGTATTTAAAACAATATTTTACTTAATTCTATATTTTTCATCATGTTGTATTCAGCTTGTAAAAATGTAGCGTGGGATTGGAAATATCCTTAACAGTGTATCTAATTGACAATGACCACATTTCATTCTGTTGAAGGTTTACTCCTCAGATATCAAAGAATTCGTTAAATTTCTTCTATAGCTTGATTCAAATTGTTGCAGATCTTATCTTGAAATATTTCTTTTGCAAAAAAAAAAGGTATATTTTGATATGATTATATATTATGATAAAAGGTATTGTATTTATTGATAAAACAAAGGGAATTATTCATAATTCCATATAATTTGTGTCATAATAGCATATGGCAGACAGATATTTAGTTTTTCTTGCCATTGCTGAAGTATTGTTATTTTGGAAGATGTTGCAATCCAACTTTTAATATGGTTAGGAAGTTCACTTCTAAAAGGTTTACTTAATAACTACATGTCCTTGATATATTTATTGTTATGTATTAATGGTGGTATGTACGGAAGCGTAATAGGGCCATTCAATTTTTTTATTTTTTTTTGTTCAAGTTAGTAACTCGAATTTTCAAGTTAGTTACTTGAATTTTCAAGTTAGTAACTTGAATTTTCAAGTTAGTATGTTGAATTTTCAAGCTAGTATGTTGAATTTTCAAGCTAGTATGTTGAATTTTCAAGTTAATATCTTGAATTTTCAAGTTAGTATCTTGAATTTATCAAGTTAGTATCTTGAATTTTCAAGTTAGTATGTTGAATTTTCAAGCTAGTATGTTGAATTTTCAAGTTAATATCTTGAATTTTCAAGTTAGTATTTTGAATTTTCAAGTTAGTATCTTGAATTTAGTAACTTGTAAATTCAACATACTAACTTGAAAATTCCAAAAAAAAATGAATGGCCCTAATACGCTTCCGTAGGTATGTAACACAGTGCATGTTTTTTTTGTAACATTTGTAAATCTGCTTAACAGTGGACATATCAATTGTTAGTCTGACAAATCTGGCCGTTTTGTTCCATAGACGTGATATACATCTGCTTGTCTAGGGCCAGACATTAATTGAAACCGAGGGGTATGATTTTCCATTCTTCATATTTCATCAACTCCTGAAACAATTGCATTGGAATTTTAGTTGAATATATTTTTTCTTGTAATCTCTCCAGAAGTAATAATCTATGATCTTCAGTAAAACATATTCTGTTTGAATTGAAATAGTTTTCATGTTGAAATCCATAGTCTCTACTTGTGACCTAGGTTTGTGCTTCTATAGGAGAGTATCTTCCTAAAACACCTACAACAACTGCAGAAGTTAGGCCTTCCCCTTGACTGTATTTTGGTAGCGTGGGACATTGTAGAATATACAGCTGTGTCTTGATGGTCTCCTTGATGGTTCAGCTCTGTATAGATACCAAAATTTATATGAAATGTGAAGTTTTTAACATTGTGAAAAGTGGGTCTGAGCATCTTGTAACTGTGTTAGTATCTCAACATATATATATATATATATATATATATATATATTATATCCGAGGAATAGGTGGTATCAGATTTGTCTGGCTAATCAATTGTCTGTCTTAATTGTAATTTGTTTGTCAAGCTGGAATACTTATGATATTTCATCACATTTATTTCCTAACAAATCTGCCTTTTTATCATTCATTGTATACTGTGCCTTGTATGTAAGTTATGTACAAGATGTCATAAGATTTTGTTATGTTTTAAAGATTAAAATCGTGGTTAATATGATCTTGTTTCTACCACTGAACATTAATGAACATTGCAATGTGTTATGAAAAGGGAATGTTTCAGGGCTAACACAGAATATATCCCACCCACAACTATCTCATGAGACAACATAGTGGAATTTGGAATTGGGAATGAGAATTATCATATTATCATTGTTTTTTTAACTTGTAATTAGAAGTTATTAAAAGGATACTTCCTCTTGGAATGGACATAAAATTTAAAGTCTCAAACTTGGCCAATAAGTGTATATATTCATCAGTTAAACTTACCAGGTGCTATGACTTAGAGAGTTGAATCTCTGAATTAGGTGATAAATAATTATTGAAACCGACATCTAAATTAATAATTCCTTTTTATGAATTGTGGATTATTGAGTGATTTTTTTGTATTGTTATGACATTGATGAACAAAGACTCATTTGAACCATGATTAAAAATTTCAATATTTTGGTCATTCTTTAAAGGTAGTTGCGCCATTTTGGGTGGTTAATGTTAGTCTGGAATTGAAGGCTCAAATTGCGAAGGAGAACTGCGAACACTTAAATGATTGACTTAGCTGAAAATTTTGTTTCTAAGACTAAAGTATGATTGGTCAAAATCTTTAACCTTTAAGTAGAAAGAACACTGAACTTCATTTTGAAATGAAATGAAATGAATGGAGTTTTACGTCCTACTTTTCTGCACTATGTTGGACTTCATTTTGAAAGATCATGAAAAGGACAAGACAAAATAGCTGAAATTGTAATATTAAAATTTATTATGTACACAATTTATAAATAAACAATATTATATTAACAAATCTAATAAATACAATTAATATTCAGATAAAAATTCTTTAACTAACAAAGGAATAAATTTATTAGATAATGTATGGTCCCTATCAACAAATTGTTTTTTAAGAACTGTAGTGATATTACATTCTATCAAGACAACAGAAGAAGCATCTTCATGTGTTACATTTCATATTTCTTGGTAAAGAATTATTAAAGTCAAATTAATGTCCAACAAAAATCATATCATATCGATGTTTATGACAGACTAAAATCATAGGTTGAAGAAAAAAGATTTTTGTTCAAAATAAAAATGATTATCTTGTAACAGATGTTATTTTGAAAAGTCCGCTAAAACTGAGTTAAAACAAATAATTCATGTTCTACAGCAATAGTTTTCCTGAATTAGCAAATAAAAAATCCTAGATTGTGATATATCTAATGATAGACAATTTATTTACAGTAACATGATAGTTATAAAAATAAATATCACAATAATGTTGGCATAATGTTTTATACAAAAAAATAACCCTTACATGAATCCACTCTTTCAGCTTTTAGATCATACAACTTTTCCGAGAGAAAATATGGGTTAAATTTAACTATCAACCCTAGATGTAGTCTACCCTAAAATTCAGTTTTAATGTATATTTTATGTATATCACTTGAAGAATAGAAACAAACTTTTTTCATTAATAATTGAACATTACTCAAAGTAAAAGTGATATTGAATAAAAGCAATCATTACTTAGCTATACAGAGAATAGAGCTATTCTCTGATCATCCATCAACCAAATTTGACCCTTAAGTAGTAATTATCTACCCACTCCCTCCCCCTATTGATATGAAGTGTTCTACTTGTCTGCCCTTAACATTATATATTTATGTACTATAAAGTGTTATGCTTTTTTATAGATATACATATATGATGACAATAAAAGTGAGTTTGGTTTTATATTTAAATTATGATATATGATATAATACAATAAAAATAGAAAAAATATACAAAATAATGCTGGTAATATTATTAACATTATAAAATGAATTGTTAATAAACATTTTAATGAGGAACATAATCTTTGATAGAGTTTGATTGAAAAGAAGAATTATGCCATTTTGCAAAATGTAGTCAAACATAAGAAAACTATTATAACTGCACCTTTATAAAAAGAAGTTATAATATGTAACTTGGTCTGTGATTAGCTCTTCATCTTACTGTTAGGATAAAAAATGTGGGAAGCAAAATTTAATACTTTGGTTAACGCTCATAAAACAAGCTGCTGTTATTGGCAATGGAAATCATCAATCAGATGACAGTTGAGACATTTTACTCTGTATTCTTGTTTTCAATAGAATAAATGTTTTTGAGAACCTTCTTAAACAAAATTTTCATTTTTGCATTATTCTCATTATTATGCCAGCCAATACATTCAGCAAAGTAGCACCACTGACCAAAGTTTTAAACAAACAATTAATGCTTTAAAAAGTAATATGTCAATCAAAACAAATCTAAACTAAAATACTGATAATATGGAAGGAATTAGTAAAAAATCAATAGAGATCATCACATACAAAAGCTTATTTCCAGTCAGTTACTATCACATGTTCCATCTTTGAATAACATACTATAAAAAATTGTTGTTATTTAGATAATCAGACAAATTACAAGGTCAATTCCAATATCTTGATTTTTGACCATGCGATATCTTAACATTCCAACATTTCATCATTATGATGGAATTTGTTTAATATCATCTTAGTTTTCTGTGTTTAACAAATAAGAATGTTAAAAAATAAGATTATATGTCCAGATTGTATTGTATACCTATGTAAGATCATGTCTTTTCACTTTTCATGATTGAAGGTTAAAGTCTAAATTAATTTTGGTAAATTACGCCCTATGAAACAAAATGGCAATTCCTGTCAATGAACACTTGTTGTTTCAGTTGTAGAAAACAACATATAAATCAAAGTGTCCATCTATTTCTACTGCTTTGATGCTAATGGTCAACATAAGAATCTCCCCTGACTATTTCTATATGACCATCCTTCTGCAATCTACTCGTTATCATTAGCAATTTACTACTTCAATAATGCATGATTCTTAAAAACTATCTAAGTGTAACATCATCAAAAATCTGCGTCCCATCCTGAAGTTTCATCTGCTGGAATGTCATTATCTTTAGGATAACTGTCAAAATTACTGTAATCTGTTGGATTTTTTACCTATAAATAGAATATATTCCAACAATACAAGAAGAAAAATAGACATTTTATATGTCACATGTAATTGTGAGAATGAAAAAATAAGTTTGTAAAATTTAGCCACCTTCATCATTAATAATGTATGACATAAAAGTCACATGCTGTTTTCACAGGAACCAATAAAGAGTATAAATTTGATCTACAAAAAATCAGGACATACAAACAAGAATAGAGGCTTATAAGTTATTAATGACAAAACAGTGCTGACAATACTTTTATTGTATTAAGAAATGTCAAATTCCAGACAAATCTTGTCGAGGAGACTCCATAAGGACTAATTCCAAAACCAATCAAGTAAGAAGTAGATTAACATTATCAGTTGGTTCCCACAAAATATATGGTGATGACTCTTTCAATCAAATAAGTATTCTTGTCTAAAACTTACCTTTGGTATAATAGGTGGAGTAATACTATGATTCAATAAACCTTCCCAATCAAAACCTTGGAACCATCTACAAAAATAACAAAATGAAATCAAAACATATAAAAGCCCAGTTTAGTCGAGCAAAGATATTTGTGCACAGATTTTTAACATATTCAGTTGCTTACATGTGAATAGAAGGAATTAACCACCTTAGACAATTCCCTTTCCAAAAAAAAAAAAACCATCTCAAAGACATGCTATAGATATATAAAGATATAAATTCCCTGGCAAGAATTCTTCTGGAAACTTAAGATATTCAAGACTTACTTGTGTTTTTTAATATCAGTGATGCCATTTTTACCATAACCCAATCTCTCAACTGGAGCATCTCGACATAACTTCTTAATCAAAGCATGAGCATTACGACTAATTTTCCTTGGAAATTCTATCACATCAATACCCTTTAATATTATATTGTACGTCTTCATTGGATCAGAACCAGAAAATGGAGGGCTGAAATAAATTATTAGAGATACAGAGTGATTATCTTTATAACATTCATATACTTAAAATTTGTAATTACAACATTATTACCGTTAAAATTATTTACATTCAAGCATGTATCAAATATCTTTATGCTTTCACTTGGTTATGTCCCTTTGTACAATGAAGCTTTCACTGACAGGAGATAGAAATTCTACTGTTCCCAATTATATAAGTTACAATATTCAAGATAAGCAGGGTCAAAAAGCATGTCAAGCTATATTTTGTCACACTATTGTTACAACAATATACATAAAAGACAAGTAAGCAACACCTTACCTTCCAGTTAAAAGTTCAAACATCAAGATTCCCAAAGACCAATAATCAGCAGCATGATCATGCCCCTTGTTTAAGATTATTTCAGGAGCTACATATTCTGGAGTTCCACAAAACGTCCAGGTTTTTTTTCCAGCACCAATCTTTTTTGCAAAGCCAAAATCAACCTTAATTTAAGAAATGTATCATGAACACTCTTATTTAAATGAAGCATTTTTAACTACGAACAAGACCTTTATTGGGTCACAGGACTAAAGTCTATATAGGATTGTTTAGCTGTCATTTTCTACATTTCAGAACTGTGTGACTATAATTATGAGCTTATTAAGATCTAGAGTGGGTTAAGTTCCAATACTTTCTATGCACTTTCTTTAAATATTATGTGAAGTGAAATCAACTTACTAGTTTGATGTAGCCCTTATTATCCAGTAGTAAATTTTCTGGTTTCAGATCACGATATATAATACCTTTATGATGTAAATATTTAAACGCTTCTACTACACATGATACATAGAAACGTGTTGTTTTATCATCAAAACTTCCTCTGAAACATAAAAATCAATCAGTTTTGAATTTCTGAGATTTTTTCCAATCAGAGATATTTCAATGACCTGTGAAACTGACCAATATTATCCAAGAAGTAAATCTATTAAATAGAGGTGATTTTTTTTTTCATGGATGTATCACAAACACTACTTTTCAAAGATTCTCATGGTTATGATTAAAAATCCATGTTAATGTTCACCTGACAATTATAATATCTGTATTTGTAATAAAGGGTATAATACAGAGTAAGAAAGTAAGAAAATAGTTGGGTTTATGGAACTATATAAGATAAATTTTTTTTTATATCTAATGAAATTGCAAATAATTCATAGTTTAGTAAACTAGTGTCCAAAAGAAACGATACCAACTTATTTTCAAAATTGTTTTTTACTAAGTGAATTGTCTAATATGAAAACATGCCAATTCGTACTGCACATCCCACACACAGCATAGTCGATAAAAATACCGGGAACACGTCATCACTTCCGGGGAAAAAACGTAAATTTCGTGAAAGTGACATTTCCCTCTCTAGCATGTTCTGCACGTGCATAAAAACTGTATAAAACGGCTGATCAGACACGTTGATATCACAGCAACAAAAAAGAACACAAGATATGCCACGTTTGACAGCCATCGAGAGAGAGAGAGCCGTTGGAATGGTCCAACAAGGAGCGACACACGTCCACGTCACCAGAAGGTTGGATTGCGCATGCATCACTATCACCAGGTTGATGCAGCAGTTACGTCAGACAGATCAGACGTCAGACAGGCCCAGGAGTGGAAGACCACGAGTAACCACGCCCCGTGAAGATCGTTACATCCGGGTATTACACCTGAGGAACCGCACCGTAACAGCGACGTCCACGGCGGCTACAGCACTGGGACACAGGATCAGTCGACAGACCGTCAACAGGAGACTACGGCAGTATGGTATCCGGCCACGTCATCCCTACCGCGGACCGCTCCTGACGCCTCGTCACCGGAACAACAGACTGATCTGGACCAGGCGAGTTCGACGTTGGCAACGGCGGGACTGGGCACGTGTTATGTTCTCTGATGAGAGCAGATTCCTCATCTTCAAAAACGATGGACGGCAGCTTGTATACCGACGATTTGGTGAACGTTTGGCGCTTAACTGTATCCAACAGGTCCGGTCGTTTGGAGGTGGCGGGTTAATGGTTTGGGGTGGCATATGTGGTGACGTCAAAACGAGGCTTGTCGTAATTCGTGGAAACCTGAATGCACAGCGTTATATTGATGACATCCTACGGCCTGTTGTGGTGCCCTTTATTCAGCAACATCCTCGTGGACTCCTTTTCAAACATGACAATGCAAGGCCACACACAGCAAGATTGATACAGAACTTCCTTGCCAACGCCAAAGTACAGGTTTTGCCATGGTCCGCATGTTCACCGGACATGAATCCCATCGAGCACTTATGGGACCACCTCGATCGACAAATCCGACGTCGCCGTGTGCCTCCAGTCAACGTCCAGGACTTGGAACGATGTCTCCTCGAGGAATGGCAACGAATCACTCCCAACGTCATCAGACGTTTGACGGCATCAGTCCGTAGGCGTGTTCTGGCATGCATTGATGCTTACGGTGGACATACCCGCTACTGACTTGACTTTGTGACGTGTGGTGTGACATTTCCCGTTGTTTCTGTGATCAGTGCTCTAACGAAATGTTCTTTTTTGGACCCCACCCATCTTTAAAGGCTTGTCATATTGTTTGTACAGATTTTATTGAAATGAAATTTTTGTACAGATATTGTGAAAGGATTTTTCAAAAGCATAACACCAATCCTAAACTTCTGCATTGTTTAGTTTTTTCTTTTATGTCGTTGCAAACAGGTGGTATCGTTTCTTTTGGACACTAGTTTATTAAGGAACATGTTAAGTTTGCTCAACAGAAAGTAGAAATTTGATATTCAATGGTTTCATTACATACCTGTCTCTTAGAATAGTCCATAATTCACCACCTAAACAGGCTTCCATCATCATATATACATATTTATTATCACGAAATGTTTTAAATAATCTGAAATAACAAGCTCATTAATTGTAAGAATCAAACAAATCTTTGAAGTCCTAAAAATTTGTTAAAACTAATCAATCTTGTTCTCAATTCCAGTGAAGAGCCATGTATTCTTGAGTTCTAATTGTCTCTACTTGAAAAACCAGGAATATCTTATCATTAGGCAAACTTCTTGGGTCAATACAGAATGGAAATAGTAGGTGGTAAAAAAACAAACCATTAAAAGAAATATTTTCATGCAAATTATGCTATAAGCTCTCAAATGGTGCAACTGCTGGACTATTAATCTGAATGGTTTCTAAAAAATCTAGTTGGATAGGATCCAGGAACATGTAGTATTGTAGAAGGCAGGCTGCTTCCCCCGACCTTGATCATTTACAAAACAGCATGACGTGTCAAATGCTAACTATTTCTTACCTGGCAATAAAAGGCGTTCTAGATGTTAACATTATCTGTTTCTCTGAGTAAATATGTTCCTGTTGTCGAGTATCAACTATGTGTTTCTTTTTAAGGCACTTCAAGGCATATGTCTTCATCTTGTCATTTGATAGCTGCACCTATAATAAACAGTATGGTACATCTTCTTTTTGCAATTGCGTATAAATTACACTTAATAAACTCCTTGATTACAGTTTAAGATTAAGCATAGTTTCTGTTTACAAAGTGTCAACCCTCTAGCTAATAATAATTTATATTAAGCAAAGTCTTTTGAGATCCAAATTTACAACAGTCATTTCTATTCCAGGTAGTCTTAAGTATATGCAAACAAGGTTTTTCAAGACTTTGTAATTGTATTTAAGTCAATTGGTATTTATAGTAAGGATAATCTCGTGCAGTTTTTCAGGGACCAATGTGATTAATATTAAGTAAGATAGAAGGTATAATAAATATATAATAACTGTGATTATTAGTTCAGTGTATTGAATCAATAAGTATTAAAAGTGTTTAATCATACAATATCATGATAAAATCCCTATATACACCTGAGATCTTAATTAACATATAGTTTGTATCTCACTGATATATTTACTCTTCTTGCTAGTAATCATTTTATCATGTACTTCATCTTGATAGGTGTGTAGAGACAAAATTATCAATAAAGATTTCCAGAAACATTCTAATGCAAATCCGTGGAATTTGTACAATCAATAACTTCATTTTTTGCTTTTTCCATTTATGCAAATTGTTTTGCTGACATTGAAAAAATGAAAAATATGGAAGAATTTAATGCCGACGCCATATCTAATCTAACTGGGTTAAAATGTCATTAGGAAAATTCCCTTGTGTCTGGAAGCCCTTTTATGGAATTCAAATTTTGTCTTCCACTAACTTTCTGTCAATAAATTTTTTCATAGGCTACATATTGAAGGCTCATAACTTTCTACTTTGACAACCTTCTTCTTTCTTCAGAAATGTCTTCAGTTAGAATTTTATATAAATCTTTCTTTTTAATTTTGTTCTAATTCTTTGGTTTTATCTGGTTCTGAAAATTGCTACTTTGCATAATGTTCATTACTTAATATTTCATATGCAATTGATATTATTGTAATAAGAACTAGAACTGTCCTAATAAGAGTACTGATGCAGGGCGGGTTACGACATTCAGGTACATACGAAGATGGTCTATTGCAATTACTTTATGTAAATACCTTTCTGCATCTCTAAGTGCAAATATCCAAAAGTGCCTGAAGTTTAAAGTATATTTACTAGGAATAAAAGAATATTTGTCAATTAATAAAGAATAAGTTTGATGAAATCCGGATAAGAAATAAGAAAGTTGGTAATATGCATGCGCTCAACAAAAATTCGATAATTCCATCAAATGTAGAGTTTGATTATACACATACATACCAAGTTTGATGAAAATCGGATAAGAAATAAGAAAGTTTGCAATGCGCATGCGCACTACGCAAATTCGATAATTCCATCAAATTTAGAATTTGTTTATACACATAAATACCAAGTTTGATGAAAATCAGATAATAAATAAGACAGTTGGCAATGCGCATGCGCTCAACAAAAATTCAATAATTCCATCAAATTTAGAATTTGTATATACACATACATACCAAGTTTGGTGAAAATCGGATAAGAAATAAGAAAGTTGGTAATGCGCATGCGCACTACTCAAATTCGATGATTCCATCAAATTTAGAATTTGATTATACACATACATACCAAGTTTGATGAAAGTCGGATAGTAAATAAGAAAGTTGGCAATACTCAAATTCGATAATTCCATCAAATTTAGAATTTGATTATACACATACATACCAAGTTTGGTGAAAATCGGATAAGAAATAAGAAAGTTGGTAATGCGCATGCGCACTACTCAAATTCGATGATTCCATAAAATTTAGAATTTAATTATACACATACATACCAAGTTTGATGAAAATCAGATAGTAAATAAGAAAGTTGGCAATGCGCATGCGCACTACGCAAATTCGATAATTCCATCAAATTTAGAATTTAATTATACACATACATACCAAGTTTGATGAAAATCGAATAGTAAATAAGAAAGTTGGCAATGCGCATGCGCACTACGCAAATTCGATAATTCCATCAAATTTAGAATTTGATTATACACATACATACCAAGTTTGATGAAAATCGGATAGTAGATAAGAAAATTGGCAATGCGCATGCGCACTACGCAAATTCGATAATTCCATCAAATTTAGAATTTAATTATACACATACATTCCAAGTTTGATGAAAATTGGATAGTAAACAAGAAAGTTGGTAAATTAAGTGGAGGTATACCTTCAATATGCTGCTGTGAGCTTAAACTAAAATATGACATGATTCAATCCACCTGAGAGCTTAATTTTATACCTTAACTGGACAAAGATCATTTTTAAGAAATATAAAAGGGAGGGTATCTTTAAAACAACTTAAAATTTGATTTCTGTTGGGGTTGACAGCCAGGTTAATCTAATTAGCCGATTTATCTAATAATAACCCCATGTTAAGTGAATGGAGTTTTGAATTTGCATGTAAGGTATGCATGATATATATCTATAGAAAGCTGAGAATCTCTGCATTACAAAATCGAAAGAATTATTGCCATATCTCTATTAGGGACTGATATAGCACTGCAAAGACTCAAAATCGTCCATATTTAGACCCCTGTAAAATCGGAAATAGGTATCTGACCCCAAAGGTCAAAAGGTCATCAGATAGACAAGGTCACAAATTATCATCACAGTTAATATGAAGGTCATCAAAGGTCAAGGTCATGAGATATACGCCTTCAAACTTTGAAAAAAACAATCCGGTCGTACAAAAAAGGCAAAACCGAAAATCAAAATTATGCTGCCTAAGGATTGTAGACAGACATTAAACGTATCGTTTGACACAAATGTTATGCAAATCGGATGAAAAATGACCTCTGAATAGCAATTTCTGCAAAATGAGGCAAACCAAAATGGCGGCCAACATGTTACTTCCGGTGCAGATTTTTTTAGTTTAATAAGTTTGTATTAAGGCTGGTAATGTAATGCATATGTTATTTTTGACATAACTCAATTCCACCGGAAGTGATACCACCGGAAGTACTAACATCGAAACCGGAAGTGATCAAAAAAATTTGAATGTGCACTTTACGTCTCTATGCTGGCGGTCTACACCACGTAAGTTTCAAGTCAATCCGTCCGACAACAACCGAAATAGTATTTTTCGATTAATTTCGGCAAAAAAAAGTATGCAACGAATTTTCGAAAATCGAAAATTTTCAACTGCTATCATTTGTCCTTTGTTACAAGAAATACGATGCAGAAAACCCGATCAAAATCGGTTGATAAACACGCCCTCTAGAGTCCATTTTCCGTTTGTTGCAATTTTGCATAATGTTGCTCAGAAAATTTTCGTTTTACATTTAAACTGTGATTAGCCACGGGTTACAAAACGCCATCAAGTCCGTTTTCCCGTACCTGTTGCCGTTGCCGAGAAAACCGACCTGCCGTAGACGAAGAAAAAACAAACTAGAACTGTTCTAATAACAGTACTGATGCAGGGCGGTTACGACATTCAGGTACATACGAAGATGGTCTATTGCAATTACTTTATGTAAATACCTTTCTGCATCTCTAAATGCAAATATCCAAAAGTGCCTGGAGTTTAAAGTATATTTACTAGGAATAAAAGAATATTTGTCAATTAATAAAGAATAAGTTTGATGACATCCGGATAAGAATTAAGAAAGTTGGTAATTTGCATGCGCACAACAAAAATTCAATATTTCCATCAAATTTAGAATTGAATTAAACACATACATACCAAGTTTGGTGAAATTCGGATAAAAATAAGAAAGTCGGTAATGCGCATGCGCACAACAAAAATTCAATATTTCCATCAAATTTAGAATTGGATTATTCACATACATACCAAGTTTTATGAAAATCGGAAAAGAAATAAGAAAGTTGGTAATGCGCATGCGCACTATTCAAATTCGATAATTCCATCAAATTTAGAATTTGATTATACACATACATACCAAGTTTGATGAATATCGGATAATAAATTAGAAAGTTGGCAATGCGCATGCGCACTACGCAAATTCGATAATTCCATCAAATTTAGAATTTGATTATACACATACATACCAAGTTTGATGAAAATCGGATAATAAATAAGAAAGTTGGCAATGCGCATGCGCACTTCGCAAATTCGATAATTTCATCAAATTTAGAATTGGATTATACACATACATACCAAGTTTGATGAAAATCGGATAGTAAATAAGAAAGTTGGCAATGCGCATGCGCACTACGCAAATTCGATAATTCCATCAAATTTAGAATTGGATTATACACATACATACCAAGTTTGATGAAAATCGGATAGTAAATAAGAAAGTTGGCAATGCGCATGCGCACTACTCAAATTCGATAATTCCATCAAATTTAGAATTAAATTATACACATACATACCAAGTTTGATGAAAATCGGATAGTAAATAAAGTTGGTAAATTAAGTGGAGGTATACCTTCAATACGCTGCCGTGAGCTTAAACTAAAATATGACATGATTCAATCCACCTGAGAGCTGAATTTTATACCATACCTGGACAAAGATCATTTTCAAGAAATATAAAAGGGAGGGTATCTTTAAAACAACTTAAAATTTGATTTCTGTTGGGGTTGACAGCCAGGTTAATCTAATTAGCCGATTTATCTAATAATAACCCCAAATTAAGTGAATGGAGTTTTGAATTTGCATGTAAGGTATGCATGTTATATATCTATGGAAAGCTGAGAATCTCTGCATTACAAAATCAAAAGAATTATTGCCATATCTCTATTAGGGACCGAGATACAGCACTTTAAAGGCTCAAAATGGTCCGTATTTAGACCCCTGTAAAATCGGAAATAGGTATCTGACCCCAAAGGTCAAAAGGTCATCAGATAGGTCACAAATTATCATCACAGTAAATATGAAGGTCATCAAAGGTCAAGGTCATGAGATATATGCCTTCAAACTTTGAAAAAAAACAATCCGGTCGTACAAAAAAGGCAAAACAGAAAATCAAAATTATGCTTCCTATCATTTGTAGACAAACATTGAACAGATCGTTTGACACAAACGTTACCCAAATCGGATTAAAAATGAATTCTGGGAATCGATTTGGGCAAAAATGAGGCAAACCAATATGGCGACAAACATGTTACTTCCGGTGCGATTTTTTTTAGTTTAAAAGGTTTGTATTAAGGCTTGTAATATAATGCATATGTTACTTTTGACATAAATCAATTCCACCGGAAGTGACGCCACCGGAAGTACTAACATCGAAACCGGAAGTAATGAAAAAATTTTGAATGTGTGCTTTTATTCCACTTTGCTGGCGGTCTACACTATGTAAGTTTCAAGTCAATCCGCCAAATAATAACCGAAATAGTATTTTCTGATTAATTACGGCAAAAAAAAGTAATGAACGAATTTTCGAAAATCGAAAATTTTCAACTGCTATCATTTGTCCAAGAAATACGATGCAGAAAACCCGATCAAAATCAGTTGATAAACACGCCCTCTAGAGTCCATTTTCTGTTTGTTGCAATTTTGCGTAATGTTGCTCAGAAAATTTTCGTTTTACATTTAAGCTGGGATTAGCCACAAGATACGAAACGCAACAAAGCCCGTTTTTTCGTACCTGTTGCCGTTTCCGAGAAAACCGGCCTGCAGTGGCAAAAAAAAAAAAAAAAATATCAATACGAAAACAAAGCAGGGAGTTCGCTGCAATAATGTTTAACTTTTGGAATGATGCAGTTTTGAAATAGGAGATTTTAATATTTATAAAGACTCTAATTATCACTGCTAATCTTTTTAACAGACAAAGGTATAAATTTGTAACTTAAAATAAATATATAAAATATTTAAGTCATTTGAAGATTTTTTTAACACTAGGGTAAAATGTAAAAAAAAAACCTTTACATTTTGACCTATTGTCATTAGGTATTTAAAAATCTGTGCTATATATTTTGAAGTTTTCAATCAAAAATGTGAAAATTCTACAGCTCATTGAGGTTCAGCAATGCTATATTTGGAAACAATTATAAAACTTGACAGTCTATTTCAATTTATGTCATACAAAATATAGATGCAGAAGACATAAAAACATCTCTGGGGCTGACAGATCTGTGTCAAACAGGTCTAGTACCGGTATTAAAATATTGAATTTGATCTACATATAAAACCTTTCAGTAAAAACATGCAATTCAAAGATAGATTTTAATCAACCCAAATCCATCAGAAATAAAATATTAAATACTACCAGAAAATATCATTTTCAGACAAGTTTCATGAAATTTATCTCAAAGCTGGATTTAAAGGCTTATAGTTGATGCATGTTGTATTGGAATAGTGTGATTATGTAGGAATTAAACTCTGGAAGTCTGGACCTTATCAAAATAGAGAACTAAAACCCTTTTATATATTTATTTAATTGCATATTAGTGCGCTTTCACATCAATTACTTTGGTAATGTGTTTTTTAGATTGAATAAAACATTTTTAATGCCAAAATTTAATAAAATTGCCCTTATCATTTTCAATTGGATATGACTGTAATGCTCTGAACATAGTAGGAAAATTTATCTTTCATTTTGGAACTAAAATATTTATGGCTTATATTAACAATTAGTCAAGCATTTTGAGTCAATAACATAATAGAATTCCTCAATACAGATCTCTGTTCGATTTAAAATTTATCTGGGATAAAAGCAATGCCTTAAGCATTGAAACTGTGACGGAAAATTGGCTCAGAGCATGTTAAAGCATTGTATAAGAGTGTGACACATGCCTGACATAGTGCAATTGTTTCCTCTATTCCTCGAGCTAAGGCATTAAATTTAGACATGTTCAAAACAAATGCCAAGATTTGGTGATCTGACACATGTGACAAAAACCATAGAATGCAATATGGTCGCACAACTCGCAATATTAGGTTGACTGTTTTTATGTTGGTAATTTTTAGGGCCTTTTTTCTAGTTTTTCACGATAGTCCACAACCTCCTACATTTCCAGCTGCCATGAGATCGCAGATTGCAGTCTGTTGTAACTGGGCTATAACAACCTAGTTAGTAAACATATTGTTAAAGCAAATTGCAACTTATTCATATTAGTATATAGCAGTTAATTAGTTCTTCATGAAGATGGTTATTCTGATGGTTCCAGCTGGGACAATATACTGAGAAATCTTCTGAAGTAATGACTTCAAAATTTATAATTGAAATGGAATAACCTGGAAGCACTAAGAACAGAATCGATTGAATTGGTCTGTGTTAGTTTAAAACTTTAATTCAAATATTTCACGCAGCCATCTTTGAAAGTCAATAAACATTTAACGATTTTCTTATCACCCTTAGTCCAGAATGTCATGGTTTAATCAGAAAACTTCATCAGTGTAGGAATATATTCATTTAATAATGAGGACAATTTAGCTAAGTCTACAGATCTCCTTCTCAATCTCAACGACAAATGAGAAATAATTGCTTCCGACTTTATCAGCTGGACAAATTGCCTGAATGACCTCTGATCAACTCATCTGACCTTCAGAGTGCCAAGATTAACTTTATTTTACGCTACATCGATGATAAGATGAAGTAGTTGATATTTTGATTGAGTCTATCAAAACACGAGTATAGATAGTACAGATTATTAATATTTCACAAGTCAACTACGGACATCTTGGTAAGATAATAATTGATAGTCCATTTCCTTGTAAAATAAGTTTGTGTCAATTTGAAGATGAATGATATCATCCAGCCATGCTGTCTTAACTAGTGTTTGCCAATTATTCCCTTTCCTATTTGTTGATAACCTGTCATTTTAGTTCATTCTTCAAAATATTTTCTTTACCAATATCATCAACATTAAGGTTACTATATTTCACAGATTTCATGAAAATATTATTTTTGTTGATCCTTTCGACCAGTTGTACCTAAAGCTAATCAGTAATAGTGTTCACAGCTCACTTTAACAATTTGAGCCTTCAAATTCATATGTGTCCAGAAATATCTGTGTTAAAACAAACAACTCATCTTTTCTTGAAACTTTGTCATAATTATATAGACAAAACAGAATATATATAAATAGAAAGTGAAATTCCTTGTTTGAGGTATTTTCGAAGGGATTACCCAATTTCCGTACATCACGCGAAATTGGCAAATCTGTCCCCTTAAAGACAACATTAGCCAATTTTAAAACTGTATTGCCAGATTCTAGACTATAAGTGTCTTATGTAAGTACCACAAAGTGCAAAGACATGAACAAGACAATACTGTATCAATGAGTATATATAACATAATGCTATAATATCATTCTTATCAAAACACCAGAGAACATCGTCCAGTTGAGACGTCATTGTTCTATCTTAATGACATAGAAATAATAAATTATTCAGGGGAAGGAAAACACTACTTATAAAATGATAAGCTGAATAAGAATGAAGGAATAATTGATATTATCTATTCTCAATAATTACATGTTATTATTACAGATAGATATTGTGTCTCTAGAGAATATATAATTAAACACTATACACACTCTTAGTCTTATTACACTGCTATCTATGAATTGTATAAGTTTATATTTCAACAGGGCCTATTTCTATATTACTGTACAATTGGTGTATTGAGTACTATTTAAACTGTGAAAATATTTTATTATTGTTTATATTTCTGTTAATCTGTATCAGATGAACAAGATACATAGCAATAGAATGTGAAGTCCATTCTATTGTCTAAGAATAAATGTCAGTTTTTACTTACCAGTTCTACCCTGCCAAAGCCACCCATACCCAATGTGGCTACTACATCTAGATCATCAATTTTAATATTGACAAACTCCTCCAATATTCTGTCTTTATCTCTAGAACCTGGTGTTAACTCACCACTCAAACTATTTGATAGGCTAAAATATACAAATAAATATAATTATTAATATGTAAATATGTACAAAATATACAAACATAAATAGACAAATGTATCAAGAATTTTGTGTGAACAGTTTTATATTTCGGCTGATACTATTTATACTTTGGCTGTAAGGAGGGTAACTGTATTTGGTCTCAACTCATCATAATTCCCTAATTTTTTTGTAAATTTTTGTAAGTCTTTCCAATTCCTTCTCTTTGCCATTTCTTAGCTTCTAAAGATATATATTGCCTTCTTGTGTTTAAATTTGATTATCTTCTGCTCTGTTAATATGAGCTCTTATTAAATACATATCTGGTTAAATGACATATTTAATTGTTAACAGCTAAAAGGATTCACTTTAACCATTGATACAACCAAGTGTTCAGAAGTGCTCTCAAACATGCAAATCTGACATCTAGTATAATTACAGATTTGCAGATTTCTTAAAATTTATCTTTCAGCTATGTAGTGACAACACTACTATTAAGAAGCTAAAAACCCACCTTGATTCTGATGTATTAACAGCACTGTAAATAAAATAAGAGAAGTACATTAATAAATATCAATTAGTGTAATAGTATAACTATATTACACTTGAAATGAATTATATCCCTGGATAGATCATACACTATACAGCTTTCTTATTAATTATATCTTATATCCCAAGATATATACCAGAATTCCTCTTGATAAAGCAAACAAATTAAAGCCAATGTCCCTGGATAATTCAAACAAATCATAGCCTGGTAGATGTAGAAGGATAAGAAATATTTCTGTATTGTTGACAACTGTCCAGGGAATTGGTTCTATGATAATATATTGACATTAATTATATAGTTTATGACATTAAAAGACTCTGTTTATTACAGTTAATGTCCTATTAGATATTTCTACCTCTGGTATATAACACTAGTAAATAAGCTTCAAGGAAATGTCAAGCCTTTTTCTCCAATCTGACAACAGTTGGGTTCTTTACAGTAATCAACAAGCTGAATAACTCTTGTCTTGTCAATGGAAATCTTAACAACCTCTTGGTTTCTTAGGTGAATATTAATGTTAATGAAAGCACATCTGTGTTCTAAGGTTCAAGTGGAATTAAATCTTTGTTACAGTTCAGTCATATTATGAGGCCTGGAGTAAAACTTGGCATTTCCTTCAAGATTTTCTACATTCAATACTGCTGGAAAAGGAAATTTCAACAGGTCATTGCAAGAACAATGGCACCAAGAAAAAAATGGTATAACCATAAAAATAATTCTATTGTTAAAAGATTCAAAAATATTAAGTTTTATGGTTAAAGATCAAAAATATTTTTCATACAATTTAACTAAATATGGCTAAAGATATTTTGTTCCATAATTTTTCTGTGGCCAACCGTTACTTATATCATGATCTGAAGACTTTTAGAAGAAAGGAAATTTGAACAAATGAAATCAATCTGTAAAAATGCTGAGAATTACTCCTGAAGATTAACATGTCACTTAGTGACAGGTAGTGTTCCGGTACTGATTTCTTCTAGTAGGTTTTAATATTTTTAAGAGTGGGCCAAAATGGATTTAAAGCAAATCTAACAAGACCATGATATGAAAGTCCTATGTAAAATAATTGACACAGAATGTCCTGGGCCATATTTTCATTATATGTGATAACATCAAGAAATAATCCTATAGTTATTTAATACAATACTTTTAATCTATCTCTATGTTTTGAAATATAAAATATATATATATAATATATAAATATATATTTAACAGATCTACAATGAAATCCCATTTACCACAGTAAAAAATATCAGATAAAATATCATCAAATATATATTCTGAAATCTGACAGAGTGAAAAAAAAAAAAATTCTAAACAAATTCCTAAAAAAGATTAATTTCTGCTCTATAGCTAATTGTTATACAATAAATTTTAAAAAAAATTAGTTCAAAGATTTGAAAGATAATTACTCTTCAATGATTCCTAACTTTTTTTTTGTTTTGGAGCCATTTGCTCGTGGGGACAAACTAGAAAAAAAAAATCAGATCACTTTCAAAGACTTTGCTTAATACCTTATTAACAAGATAGATGTTCCATACATTTGAGGGTATTTTTATACATTTACTAAATATTCTCATCGATTAGGAAAACTTTTGACAGTTAATAATCATTTAGGATAGGTAGTAAATTGTATTCCCAAGTTAAGGAATGATAAGTTTTGTGAATTTGATCAAATTTGTTCATAAGTTGTTCTATAGAAGAAAAATACAACTGACACTGCCATCTAAGGAATTTCTGATATTTTATGGTCTTATCTAGTTGAATAATTTTTCATTATTTTATCTATGATATGCATATTTAATTACGTACCAGATCAATATGGCATCCTCCAGGAAAGGGTCTGGTTTTAATTATGTACCCAAGCTATTTTGACTCAACTATGTACTAAGAGCAATGCAAAAACCTGGTTTGAGATATGTCCAAAGCTAAACAAGAATTTTCCATTCCAAAAAGGAAAAAAAGTTAATTGGTGCTTGTACTAAACTATTAGCAAGAAACATTTTACAGCATGAGAGAAGAAGCCAAACATCAAACTATAAAAGGAGTCTTTTTAAATACTTTAGTTACCTTTAATTAAGATTTCATGCTAATCTGAATCTATTCATAATGAACTAACCAATTTCCGTGAGAAAGTCTCGCAACACAAAATTTCATTCTTCACCAATAGTAATCAGTAAGCCAAAATCAATATTCTTCCATTCATTGGTCTAATTTTAATCATGATAAAAGCCTTTTTAAATAGCAGTTTATGTATGAGAATTCCGTCAAGACTGATTCTAAACTAATCAACAGAATGGAAACATTTTGACTTAAAGTTGGGTACCAATTCCATCAATACATTTCATCCAACATTTTAATATCAGTCAACTATGAATTTCAACCCTTTCTCACAGATCAGAAATTTTTTTTAAACTAACAAAATATAGGGCCTACAAAACAAAACTGCTTAGTTTCAATCAGAAATCCTTGTTTAGAAATCATATGGAGCACAATATTGTATTAATTTTGAGGAGGAAGGAACAAATTTAGTATCACACTTATTTTCTAACATGAAATAAAGACAATGTAGATAGATACAGTGTGTTTAAGGTATACATGCACAGCACTTCTAAATGAAAACAATTCCTAAAATACTAAGGTGCATGAACAGAATTCTAAATTTCCACAGAAACATTTTATTCAGCAAAGCAGATACAACCTAATCTCAGCTAACCATATCAAAAGAACGCTCAGACTTCATATCATTAATAATAAAATAGCCAACACATAGCTTACACAAAATGAAGTTACTTAGACTAATGTCACATTTAAGACACAATTCCTTTAAATAATGGTATGTCAACATGATGTCTACTTTTGAAAAGTGATACAGATATCTAGAGTACATTGCAGGAACTGTCAAGGGTAGAATCTCTTATGTTTTAAGCTGATTGATGTGCTAGTTATACCAGTTATATGAAAACATAACAATATTAATACTCACCGTGATGCACCTCTAGCTTCATCACCATAATCTTTTGTTCTTAATTCATTCAAATCACCAATTAACTGATTAAAAGAACTGAAAATATATCAGATATTCAAAGTGAATATACATAGGACATTCCATCAATTAACACTTTTTTCTGTTCCTAATTGATCAGTTCCCAAGTGGAATTAGAAATGGGTACAACTAATACTTGGAATACTAAAAAGATTAAATGCTATTTTTTTGTGGCAATTCTGGAAATTCCACTCTACTGCCAAGAATAAATTAACTTAATCATTACAAATTTTACTTTGACATTAATTACCTGAAATATCAAGTTCATGTATGGCATAGATAATGATGCTTCAGAATCTAATTTGATTTCAACCATGATCAGTTTTAAATAGTGAAATGGTGGGTTTTTGAGTTGATTACTATTCATTAAACTACAGTAATTAATGACTTACTATCAAATTTACAGCACACTCAATGTGAATGTCACATGACCACGACATAAACCAAGATCTTATGTGACAACCACATAGAGTTTAACAATGATTTGATCTACTCTAGGGTAAATCATTACTGACCAATATAGAGTAATTATCTATGTCTAAAAGAAATTCATTAAGTCTATTGTTTGCCATGTTCGGTGATTAATTTAAGTTTTGAACATATGCAAAAAGACTTCAGGAGCACTAGAACTGTATGCTGTGAATTCTATAACCAATTAGCATAGCTGATTTATTCCGGTTTCTGAGACCAAACTACAACTGACCTTTGTAAAATGGACAACCATGCCTTTTAATTTACAAAGTTTCAAAGTCTGAGCCTGAAAAGTTGAACGAATTTAAAGGACAGTCATAACTTACTCTCTATCTACTGTTAAACATTCTACACCAGGTGGCAGGGCTATCACATTAGCTGTACGACGATCTTCACTAAAAATAAAAGGTACAAAAAATATGAAATGATCAAAATTATGTTTGATGATAGTTAAATGTTTACTCATTGATGATGTTAAACTGACCAAGTTAATGGGGTAGCTCAGTGGTCTCAAACTCTCATTTCCCAACATCAAATATGATGAAAAAATAGTCATCATTTTAGTTACCTTAGCAAAGACTTTTCACCAAAATAGTCTCCTCGCTTCAATTTGCGTATCTCCTGTGGATTGTTGTGACCTTGAATTCTTTGTGTGACCTTGACCTCTCCTTTATTTAAGATAAAGAAGGAATCTCCAGTGGCGCCTTCACGTATTATATATTCTCCTTCATGGTAAAAATCCTGAAATGGGGAATAGCTGTTGTAAATTTCATGACAACACAATTTTGTTATTAGCCAAATATAAACTAAACCATGGAAATCATTCACTATTGACATGGTTGATTGATGTACATACTGTTATAGAATATATATTCTTACTAAATTATATTGTGAATTTGTACTGGTGGCCTTTTCTACTGAAAAAAATCTTTTTTTTTTTTCTTTTTCCATAAACAATACCTGTGACCTTACCATCATCTACTATTCTGAAATATAATACATCTAAACCCATTCTGAGATACAATACATCTACTTATTTTGAGATTCATCTATTGCCCATTCAAATAATACAATACATCTATAACTTTACTATAATCTCCTTTTCTACAAGATACAATATATCTTTTACCTCAACAAAATCTCTCAAAAATCTCTGATACAGTATCACCAATAACGTTATCAATATCTCCACTTCTCTCCCATTCAAAGATACAATACATCTATATCCTTACCAACACCTCATATTTTCAACTACAATACATCTATAACCTTACACACATCTCATAATTTCAGCTATAAAACATTCATTACCTTCCTAATATCTACAATTCTGAGAAACAATACACCAATAACCTTACCAACATCTCATATTCTCAGCTACAATACATCTATAGCCATATACACATCTCACATTCTCAGCTACAATCCATCTATAGCCTTATACACATCTCATATTCTCAGCTACAATACATCTATAGCTATATACACATCTCACATTCTCAGCTACAATACATCTATAGCCTTATACACATCTCATATTCTCAGCTAAAATACATCTATAACCCTACCACATCTCATATTCTCAGCTGCAATACACCTATAACCCTACCACATCTCATATTCTCAGCTACAATACATCTATAGCCTTATACACATCTATTCTAATATTCAATACAACCATTACTTTACCAATAACTTCCATTCTGAGATAAAATACTTCAATAACCTTATCAACATCTCCTATTTTCAGTGAAATATGTCTATAACCTTACCAATATATTCAATTCTCAGATACAATACATCTATAACCTTACCAATATTTCCTATGCTCAGATACAATACATCTTTAACCAATATTTCCTTATTTCCTATGCTTAGATATAATAGATCTTTAACCAATATTTCCTATGCTCAGATACAATACATCTACAACCATACCAATATTTCCTATGCTCAGATAAAATACATCTATAACCTTAACAACATCAATAACCTTACAAACATCTCCCATCCAGAGACACAATGCATCTATAACCTTATCAACATCTCCTATTTTCAGATACAATATGTCTATAACCTTACCAATATATTCAATTCTCAGATACAATACATCTTTAGCCTTACCAATATTTCCTATGCTCAGATACAATACATCTATAGCCTTACCAATATTTCCTATGCTCAGATACGATACATCTTTAACCAATATTTCCTATGCTCAGATACAATACATCTATAGCCTTACCAATATTTCCTATGCTCAGATACAATACATCTTTAACCAATATTTCCTTATTTCCTATGCTTAGATACAATAGATCTTTAACCAATATTTCCTATGCTCAGATACAATACATCTACAACCATACCAATATTTCCTATTCTCAGATAAAATACATCTATAACCTTAACAACATCAATAACCTTACACACATCTCCCATCCAGAGACACAATGCATCTATAACCTTATCAACATCTCCTATTTTCAGATACAATATGTCTATAACCTTACCAATATATTCAATTCTCAGATACAATACATCTATAACCTTACCAATATATCCTATTTTCAATTACGATTCTGAGATAAAAATACATCAATAACCTTACCAACATCTCCTATTGCCACACATAATTAAATCTTAAACCTATTTGCTACCAAACCATGTTCAAGCACAAAAAACAATAACCAACATACCCCTTCCCAGAAACAAAACTTCTGAAATCTTTCTCAGACAAAAAAAAACAAACAAACATCTCACATTGAAAGATATAATAACAATTAAATCCTATTTGCTATCAAACAATATCAAATTTAAATCTACTTAGTTTCTCCTGGCTATTATAAATGATAAATACTGATATACACAATTAATATCCTGCGAGTTGTGATGCAGGATTATCATGATTGATCTAATTCTAATAAAAATACTACTACTTAATAACGCTTCAATCTACAACTGACAGGAAAAACAACAAAAATTCATCAAGTCCAAAACTTTCTGATTAAGCTATCGATCATTCTGAGCATTTATGAGAAAATTGAGTGAAGACAAATTGCTTCCCCACACAATGCCAGCTGTTGATTTTATTAATGTCAGTGCCACCTATTTTAGTAATCTTTCACAATACACATCCTGCTATCTATCCAGTGACTGAAAATAATACCATACCAGAAACTAGTCTCCTTTTCTATCTCTGCATATGAAACCTGCATTACACATAAGGAAAATACAAAATTTCTTGATTTCAACTTCCAGACACACAGCTCTCAATTTACAGAATCACCAACACTAGCAGGCATTGACCAAAGATATACCCTTGTGTTCATGATTAGCCAAAATGTGAAACAACACATATGTAATTTGGAAGAAAATGAGACAGTGCTTACAAAGGGATTGTTCAATTGTATTAAATACAGAGAAGATTGGATTTCATGTTAACGAACACGAACAGAACTAAATATTCTCATGTTTTTTTAAAATAAAAAATGAGTTAATGATAATGACAATCTTTATGAAGAATTCTGAATTAATGACTTTGTACAAGTCAAGCACATAACAAATATCCAGGAATAAACAGAAAGTAATTATTTCTAAATCAGTTAGCTATTGTTAAACAGCGTATTATTATTTCTGCATTAATCATACAAATACTAGAATTTAATCAACAGACTAACTTTATAACATTGTAAAGAATTTTCAACTATTAATTTACCTCTCATAAATAAAATATAACTTTGTTACATTTCCATATTAGTTCTTAGTCTCTCTTTCAAATGTTGAAACTGCTTATTCTTTTCATTTTTCTTATACTTTGAACAAGAATTTTGATTAATGGAATTGTTTTTCTTGTATAAAAATCGTTTTATGAGACAAGTTCCAAAATCCACAAGTTCAAATGAAATTAAAGCTGTTGTGTTCTAATAAAACTGACAACAATAAATTCAAAACATATAACAAATATATGTGTTAGTGGTCCTGTTAATTCACCATATATTCAGGAAAAGTTTCAGGAAAACACAGCTTCATCTTGTTAATGCTCTTAATACAATTTAAAATACATTGACATTGGACACTGATAACAAAATTGAAATATATACTTCTAAAACAGCAATATGCAATTGCAACAAATTGACCAAATAGTATTCCATAGTATCTAATATATGTTCTGTATTTCAATTTTCATAGTTATTACATGAAATGTGAAGGTCAATTTACAATTCTACATAAATCACACCTCACATGATAAATCATAGCAATTTCAAATCATCTGGGATTAAACATGATAAAATATAACTGAGATCAGGTCTAGGTTTGATATTATATCTATGAGCAGGTGATTTTATACAATAGTGCCATTTCCCACACATTGCAATATTTATTTCAGATACCCTAGGGGTTTTGTCATTACAATAATTGAATTTAAAGCCTAAATAAAGTTAATGTGTAACAGGCTAGGGTAGTTGATTGATATACCTACATGAAGCGACATGAGTTAATGACATGGCATCTTCAAGCCAAAATCATTATACAATCTTTATAAGAAATGGGGCAATATATTTAGTTGTGGATATCAGCTCTGATGTTCAGATAACTACATTTTACTTAAAGATGGTTTACTTATATTTTTGTGTCAAATAGAGCAAACATTTTGATTAGTTGGTGTTTTTAATGAATTATCATTTATCTTTAGTCATATTATTATGTTCTTTTTGCATATAATAGGAGTTTTAACCAATCAGAAATGTCCATGTAAGTACAGTCTGGATAAACAAAAAAAGACTTTCTGGCCTTTCTTGATTGGTCACTCATTGGAATTCTGCTTGTAATTCTCTTCTAATTTAGCTAATTATGAAATAATTATTGACTTGTGAGACAAACTGGTATTTTCCAAGTCATTAGAACCTCTCTACTTTCTATTCATATAAGTATTAGTAATTTCATTTTCATAAATGAAAATAAGGGAATCCATCTTTAAACTATGGTAACCTGAACAATTTGTGAAATATTACATGCCAGTTATTTTGCTTTAACATTTCTATCTATTTGTATATTTGACCATATACAAGGGGCTTTCCACTTGGATTGGATTTAATTGTACTATTTCTTCAAGAACTAGTTGCTGAATTGATTAATATTTGTGTAATACTCCAGAAAGTAAACAACAAATAGTACAAACAGAAGATACTTACTATTTCTAAAACATCAGCTAATTTGGCTAATTTGTCAGCAGGCAGATCTCGTAATAAAGGCACACTGAAAATATATATTAGAATTGGGTAGAGTAGCTTCAGAATGCAATAATAAACGAAACAAAATGGGAATGGGATACTGAACCAAAAAACTAAAAAAATATTTCGCAAGCATTGTGTCAACTAAGGGAATTCCATGAGGTTGCATGATCATAAAACTAGATGTAAAATCTGTAGGCTGTTTGAACTGTAGATCAACACACCAGTTAATCAATTAATTACCTTCGAGTCCAGAGTGCAGATAATAATTATCACTTTATATTTGAAAATATAGAAAGGAAAGAAACGCGTGGGTCTGGTAAGTTCTGCTAAAATTTCAATTGAATAGAAAAATCTGCCCTGGTTGACATATTTAGCCATTTATTACATGATGACTGGAAAATTTTTTCAATTTTCTCTTAAATTTTTTACAATTCTATCACATCATTTACACCACCAAAACGATTAAACAAAAATGAAAAAACAAAAATTCAAGTTTGTTGGAGATTAATCCATTCATCTTTTTTCAATCTTACTTTTCTTTAGTTTGAAGGGCTGTCAAAACATTAACAGATAGTGGACCACAGCCATAGACGCCCTTCACGGCATGCAGATGGTAAAAACGAAACATCCATTTTAAGTTTCATCAAAATCGGTTGAAAACTAAGAGAGTAATAACATATTCAAGATTTTGGGGCAAGGGCAATAACTCTGCTTCTAACGATCGAAAATAGTTCAAATTCGAACTTGATCTTCGTTTTATGAATATCTTTACACATACCGAATTTCATTTGATTCCATAAAAGAATCTAGGTTTTAGAGCGTTTACAAGCAAATGTTGACAGACGGACGGACAGAGTGTTCAAGAGCAATTGATGTTGATAGCACTTACTGCATAGAGGTTAAAGGGCGATAACTCCTCAAAACTGTAAAAACCTTAAATCTAATCAGAAGTAAACTAAACTTTCTCAAACCTTTCGATTTAGGTCCAATAACATTCAATTTAAGTTTCATCAAAATCGGTTGAAAACTATGAGAGTAATAGCATATTCAAGATTATGGGGCAATGACAATATTCGTCCGCATAGAGAGATGTGGGTGTATAAAAACATAAGGACAAAAAATTAACTTTAAACCGAAGGGAAGGATTCCAAATCTTCATAAAATACACAACCAATCTCAAGAAATCAGTGTCAGTGTTCATAACATGAAATAGACCAGTCAATGCCCTGAAGAGCCATTTATTACAATATTTTAAAATATGAAAAGGCTATGTGTCCCTGTTTGTCATCACTATCTATTTTGGAAAGATCACAAATCATAGCTTAACTATCTAGCACATGTTTTATTCATACCCGAAGACCTCAGTATCTACCAATCATTGTGTAAAAATAAGTCCTCTAAATCTGTACCATACTAAAATACTATTATTACATTTCTTAGAATGTCAAGAATTGTTTAGTCTGCAGTGAAATTACCACATGACATTCTAGAATCTTAGTTCTATTGGGTTAGACTCTATAATTGTATAATTAAAACCTTTTAGAACTAGAAACTAATATTATCTTTATACCAAACACCAGTTTAAATAAAATTCTGACATTGTTTTCCAATTTGAATTCAAAATAAAAGATAAGGACAGTTGTGTCACCCCAAATGATTCATGGTGTTTAAAAATTTACTATTTTTTCATTTTAATCAATATGATAATGTGTTATTACTATTTCTCAATTAAGATATCACTATGTATCTTTCACCAAGTTTCTCATATCTATTCAGTTGAAGAATATTTCTCAAGGCACTGATATTATAATTGATTATTATTCTATTTATCATATAAAGTTCATAATAATACCACAATTTTTTCAAATACATAAATGAAAACTTCAAGCAACAAAAGAGTGACAATTCAGCCGCTGGGGACAAATATGACAAGCAACGTCAGCTATATGCAATGTATCCACACATCTGTATTGGTACTTTGTCACCACTTACTGATATTGGTATAAAATTTAGTTTTGCTGTACATTCCTTAACTTACCAACCTTATTAGAAATTGATTGAACCAGCCAGAGCTGCTTGAATCAAAATGACAGAATACCAGTTGAATACCAGTTGAAAGTCAATGCTGATAAAACTAGTGAACATATAATAAATCTATATTCCCAAGAGATTAATTAGACTCTATTCTAATGATGTAGAACTATGGTGGTTTTGAATGAATTGTTTTAACCTTTATGTATCATTTGACCCAGACAACAGTGATGGCATGTGATAGTTACTATCAATATTTTGGTTGTTGGTCAATTGGGATGATAAAGTATCCAAGCAGATAGAAGTCTGCTGATAAGACAGTTTACTGGAAAGCTCTGGCTCTGCTTTATTGCAATGTTACACAAGCACATCACTGAATTTTCCTAAATAAGAGATGGTATGCCATTTTAACCAGTGGGTAGTAAAATTATGTATGATTGCAAACTAATGTTATGAATGTTAACTTTGACAACATGAGTGTATTTTTTATGTTAATTTGACACTAAAATATAATGAGTAAGTTCATTCAGCATGCACTGGCATAAATGAGTTTAAACATTATGCCTTAATTGTTCAGTCTTTGTCTTTAAGGTAATTCCTATATACAGCATCACAGATAATCTAATCTAGTCTCTTTTACTCTTGAAGTCTAATGTTATTTTAAGAAGTCTATATATAATTTAACAACAGATTAGCTATGGTGTATTTTTCCAGTCCACCATTATTGGCTGTTGTAATGTTATTAGAGATAGATAATATTATGGTATATTACCAGTAAATATAGAATCAAATTGGTTATAAAAACTGTATCATCATTATTCTTGTATCCTTCCTTTACCATAATTACTGCTAATAAGATTAAAGTTGGCATCCTACTCAAGTCTAGAATTTTTATGTCCTCAATTAGTTGATGCCACAGGTTAATGTACTTTCATCAATTTTATTCTCGTTAACACAAAGTTTAGAATAAGAAATTTGATTCGAGGCATCCCCCTGTTATGGATAGAAAACCTGTTGTTTCTGTTTAGCTTGATTCAGCTCTTTAGTTAAAAAATATATACAGTATACTCTGTGTAATCCTACATACAATGGGACTGCAAAACAATGTTGGATTAGCGAGAATGTCAGAGTACTCAAACTTTCGACATTTTTTAACACTGCCGCGTGTTACTATTTATAGCTCAGTGACCCACATAAATTCTAACACTAAAGACGATACCTTCCTAATAATAAGACAATAATAAAAGACAATTCAGTTGTATATGTACTATTATTTATATATGATTTTTATTGGAATTATTAGAATTTTGATAAAACGCGAAACAAAGAATAGTCAAGTTGCATATATTTCTGTCCTATACGTTGTAATGAATGATATGAGTACCAATGCCATTTGATCTACAGTCAATGACCTTGATCTAGAAGAGAGGTCATTGGCGGTGATTAATCAGCAGAATTTAGTTCAGCGATCTAATTGTTTTTATGTGATTTGAATTGATCCGGATTATCAATAATATAAGTGATTATCTAATTGGCAATAAGTGATCAAAATGATTATGAGTCGGATTATACAGATTTTTTTGAGTGTCAGGACCACTGATTAATGTCATAATTCTGAATACACAAGAGTCAGAGTAATGTTGGTTATTACAGAGTACACTGTATTACATGGAGATGCACAGATTTGTGTAGACTAGTACAAGACCAGTACAAATTGTGTCCAGCATGGGAAATCAACACAAAACAACTCTTTTCATGGTAGGAGGCTAGCTTTAAGTAATACAATCCATGGTTTTACCAGTATAATCTAATAGAGTCATGTTTCATGATTTTTGCTAGCACTAGAAACATAATACTAGTATAATGAAATCAATATCTCAAGAGGACATGTTTAATTTTGTTGTGTACATTACAGAAATTTAATACACCCCTTAGGTTTCTTTTTTTAACGAGTTTTCCGATGTTGGTATATTTTTGGAGACTCTTGATTATAACCCACATTTTTAGATTGCATCAGGACATTTGGGACTTATAGGTTTCTAGTAAACAATGAAAAGCCCAATCCGTGATGTTATATGAATTCTGTTCATATTTGTGTCTCATTAAACGTTGATCATGACCAAGCCATTTGGCAATAATCATTCAACTTTTGAATCGTTTTTTGCAAGATTCATACCTTCGAAGATAACGTATATTTTCATCACGTCTTTGTATTCCAGTTTTCATCATAATGGCTTGAAACATAGCTCGATCTAACACCCACACTCGTACCTCTGTTAAGGCTGCAAAAACAATGTAATTTCTATATACTTTTATATTGACTGCAATTGAGTTTATCTAAGAAAATGTATAGTAAGCTATTAATTTGATATCTTTATGAATTGTGATGAAGTCACAGTAGTTGGTTATATAGATAACTTGATGGATTAGGGATAGTTGATTCATGTCATATGAAAAGCCACCATGTAGAAGAATAACTCAATTTGAGTAATTACTTGGAAAAGAACAAACAACTTCTACTGCCTTGAGGCCAAGAAGCTCCATGAATCTCTGTGAAACTTGAAATGGAACCAAGTATTTCATTATATTGTATAGTATTATTAAAAACCTTGGTTCAATGTATGGTCATCATAAATACTGTCACTACCAATGTCTATTCAACATGATTAAATCAGTAATTCAATTATTTGCACAAGCGATGAATTAGCATAATTTGGATAAAATTTACAATTTCCATTAACGCCTACTGGAGATCTAAGATATCCTGCTGTAATTGTGACCTTTAATTTTTTTAATATTTCTAAAATTCACAACCTGGTTTGACAGCCCTTAAAATGTCTGATTGGCTTACTTTTGAATGCAATTGATTTGCAATACTATTTCCATTTCACATCATGGAATTTTTTGTTACCTTTAACAGAAGCTGTTCTAGTACAGTTGTAAAGTATAGCCAGTTCACCAAATGCTCTGCCTGACGCCATTCTACCCAATATCGTTCCTTCTTTCTGTACCTCAACTTCTCCATCTATAAAGAAATATCAATTATTAATCCATTAATATAATATATTTATAGACACTACATCTACACTTTCAGTAAACTTACAGTCCAAGATCTGCCCCTCCAGAAACAATCAATTCAATATTAATATCCGATCATAGATATTCAATGTTATTTTTATATTAGTGCAGAACAAAGCAAAAATAATAATAGTGAAGAAAAAAACAAAATTAGAAGAAGCCTAAGTATCCCCAGTGAAACAAAGTCTATAAATACAGAACAAATTCAATAAATGTTCTTTATTAAAAAAAATACATAAGTCAATCCACTTATTGACAGATCATTCCATTCTTGCACAACAAAATCAAGTCTTCACTTCCATTATTCAGGCTTTTCAATCTAATGAGGTAGAATTTTCCCATGAGGGTAATAATTACTGTAACCTTTTAAATTTTCAAGTGTTAGGAAGAATTTTAACTTTGAAAAGCCTCATCTTACTGAAACAATTAGACACTATTCCATCGATTAAGATGGATTTCAAATTAACACTTATCTTGATGAAGGGAAAGGTAAAGATCAAAATTTTACAATGAAAACAGCCATTCGTGACTGATTTCTAAATATTTTCTTTGACAGCTCTGCTGTTAGAGCTAAATCTCTGCTATTTCTAATACCAAATCTTGTAAGTTTATGTAAATCAATGAGATTTTATATGATTAGCAAATTTGATGATCGCTTTCAGGTATTACCAATGTCAAGCACTTTACTCAAAAAAGCAACAAAATTGACAAGTATAGATAATAAATCATTATTTTGTAATCATGAAATACAAAAGTTCATCTTTTCTAACTGAATTCTTTTGAAAATTCACCACACTGAGAAGGAAACATCAAGCTTGGAAAATAAAAATGGTTTATATTTTTATAAATATATGACCTATCAGATGCATTTAATGGTTGAGTACTTTAATAACAATCAACTGATATATAACAGGACAAGAGTTTCCTGTAGAAATATATAATACTGAATGGTTTAAATCATAATATGACAGGCCTATTGATTATGAAGAGACTATAACTAAATACTTCCAAATATCCTATCAACTAATCAATACACTTTTAAATACACATCAAAATCAGTAATATCACGGTTTATAAGCATTAAATGTTGGCATGTTTGTGTTCCAATCAAGAGGAGAAAGCAATGTCCTATCAGAACCACCATTTAGAGTCCAAGTCAATAAATAGAAAGTTTTTAACACCACTTTTCATCATCATGTTCCAGATAGAATTCAGTATTCATAATCCATTACCCAGACAGTATTGGCATAAAATTTTAATAGACAATGTCCACAAAAAAATGGTTGCCAGAAAATTATCATTTCCTTGTCTTTTACAACCTTATTTATTTCAAGTTAGAATTTATGTATCGTTTTTAATTCACTTTGTAATTCAAATACAATTCAGTTTTGGAAGACACATATATATCTATTCTGAAGTCTAAAATAGACAGATTTTCTCCAGTTGAACAAAATAGCTGATTATTCAGAACAGAAACAAAATAATAAAAAAGCAGCAATAAATTTTGTGCACTCTTATTTTTTTTATTTTTTTTGCTTAAGGACATTCTATTTTCACAATCTGTTTCTCAACAATAGAACCTAAAGATTGAATCCAAGGGCACACATTTGAATGTCCATCTGACTTATCTTATTTGACACCTTATTTCAACAACTTCTTCATCATCATTGCCAGATCTCTATTTTTAAATTCCATTTGCCATTTTTATCTGTCTTTTCTCGAAGGTAGAAACTTAACAATTTTGAATAAGTGATAGTTTCCTTGTGCCTTCTGGTATTTGGTGTCTGCTACATGTCACACATCAAGAGTATAACAACCACTATTAACTTTTGTCTAGAGTTTGATAGCATAAAGATAGTTGCTGCTTACTTGCATAGAAACGTCAAACGCAGTAAGAGTTCAATTTCTGAATACAATTTTAGCTGTATAATAACGTTACATTTGAGCACAGCAATGCTTGGCAAGATAGATTCTGACCTAAATGGCTAATTTTTTTTATAAATATTTTATTTAATAAAAGAAGTTAAAAGCAAATCATTACATTTCAAAAGAAATTATATACAGTATTAAAATTACCCACAAGGCACAAGATCAAATCCATTAATATGACTGACATCAAAGCAAGAGGATGAATTGAAAGCAGGTTCCTATTACAACATCAGCTCACTATGTCACTGAATGATATCAATCTATTTTATCAGACAGCTATTGGAAAATCAAATTTCATATTCTTTAAATATAGAGATCTAACATAATCTTCAATTTCACGTTATAAAACCATTCTTACCAGTGCAAATGCACAATTCATCCATTCCAAATAAAATATTTAACAAGATTGATATAATTAAATGAAACTATTTTATCAATAAATATCACAAAATAGAGGCAAAGTCTATCAATGTACAAATCATGTCATTGTACAGACAAAAAAAAAAAAATCAGACAGGAAAAATTCATCAAATTAAGCCCTTAAAAGGATGACTTATATTACTTTGTTTAAACTTTATAAAGGTTTCTCGGCTCATACAAGATGTAACAAAAAAGTAATGACAGGATATCAGGTTTCTCAAGAAAAACTTTTAACTTTATATGTACATATGGGACACTGATAGCATCAATTTGAGCCATTCCAATTTTCAGTCAGACACCTATAAACCTTTCAATTGGAGTTTTTGTCACTAATGCTCATAATGCTGCTAATAAAATATGGTATTATTCAAGAATCCTTATATGATTTAATATAAAATATATAAAGATATTTAAATTGAAGCAAGCAGACTATCTATTTTCAAACTACAGGACTTTCAATATCTATTTCTTAATACAGTGATATTACAGAGAAACCTTAAAATATACATTCAGAATTTTTATATCTTGAAATATACGTCTGCAACATGAAGACATAAAACTTTCCTCCTTGTCAGTGTGGTTAAAACATATAAATTGTAAGGTTTCTAGGAAATAGAAAGATCTGGGAATTCATCATCTGTCGGACATAGCCATGACAGATCAGAGTTGACCGCCATATTGATATTAGTTATGTGACAAGAAAGAGTTACATGCAAGTAACATTTTTATTTCTGAAAACATGCAGACAGAATTGGGGATGTATTATATTTAAAGGTTGTTTTAAACAAGGTCTTTCAATAAAAGCTTATTTTATGAAGCTGATACATACTTGAGAAATAAAATCCAGACAAGTTAAATGTTAACTAGAGTAAAATTTCCAGATACATACTTTTACATATTAGTGAAGAAACCAAACTCATTAAAAAGAAACAACAAGTCATGTACTGTCTTTTGGGACCTGTTTCTCCATGTGTACTTTAATTAGATAAACTTCACAGCTCATCATTATCAATCAAAATACCATGTTTGAATTTTGCCTGGTTCATACTGTCTTCTCTCTGTACCTCAAAGATAGATTCCCAGGCAAGGTAATATACCCCCACTGGCAGCTTTGATTTTAAATAAAAATATTTGGCAGTACAGTAACAATTACCAGTATGAAATATTCAACTTTCAGTCATACACTTCTTTTAAACTTTTTGGGGAGATTACCAAGTTTTGTTAAAATCAAGGCAATTACTCCTTAAAACAATATCTTTTGTTTGGGAATGTTTTCTTTATGGGAACTCTCCGTTGTCATCTAATTTTGCTTTCTTGGACTTAAACCTAAAAAAAGAGCTTATGATTTTTCTGCTTCTCCATGCTGCCACATAAATTCATGTAGTCACGATCTATCATTGATTTTGATTGGTTGCAGTGCATGGCTAAAAATTGAACGTGTTTTCTAGAGCAAGGGCAGTAACTCATACTTAAGGTGACGCAAATGTATGCCCCCAATTCATATGAGCGTATAAAAATTTATCTAATCAAGTTTATTAATTTGAATATGAAGTGTAAGACCGGGAAGTGACTATAGTCTTACTTCAAAGACATTTTAAAACTCAAACCAATGAACGATAACAAAACCTACAAGGAATTGGTTTTGACATTTAAATTTCAGAAGCAAGAATAAAAAGACTATAAACATATTTAAAATAAATCTGAGAGAAGAAATCTTTTCAATAGTCGACTGTTTCTTATTTCAAACTGTCAAGGGATCGTAAAAATACAGTTTTGATATTTACAACGAGTCAGATGTTTTCCCAAATAGCCTGTAATTATTCCGTAATTCCATCAGAAATCTGCCAGGATATTAACGAGCAATTCAGTTAATTGCTAAACAATCTCAGATTCTTTCATCTTTTTAATCTAATGACCCAAAACAAAGTCTACAAGGAATGGGTTTAGATCTGACATTTCAGTATTTCTATATTAATTTCCTAACTTTCCTAGCAAACAACAGAAGAAAAAGTATTTCCAGTACCTGCTGAAACATAGAGGTGATTTCCTGATTCTCCTTCCTTTATAATATAATGACCTTCTTTAATTTTCTTATCATACATACAATCTACTATCTCTCGAACTTGTGTGGAATCTAAATTCTTTAAAAAGTCATTATCTAATATGGCATCTTTTATTAATTGTTTCGATCTGAAATGTAAAAGCAAAATGAATAGATTAATTTATTTGACATTGATATTTAATATAGCCATATTTTAATTCTACACAGGATATCTTACCATCCATATGATGTTGTAAAGAAGGATAACATAGTTTTATTCAATCATATTTTGACAGTTATAAATTTTTTTCTATAAATTTTCATTACAACCTTTAGAGAAAAATTTATTGATATACATCCTCATGTGAAAATTTTATGGCAAATTCCCAACTCATACTATACTGTATCCTGAGAGGAAAATAAACTCAGGTTGTGTAGACACATAGTTCAATTATTTCTATTGTGAATTTTTGATACTTTTGAACAATGTGTTTTCTGTCATAGTAAGTTCATAGATTAAAAACTAGGCCTTATAGTATAGAAAAACACATTTCATTTAAAACTTTTAAATACAGGCCTGCACTCATCACATACTAAATTTCTAACCCACACTGTAATTTGCAACCAATCTTTCATCGCAGAAAAAAGTGGGCACATCCTATTTACGCAAGATAACAGCTTTGAAACTTGGGAAGAATCCAAGATTCTGTTAGCTTTGGAAGCATGTTGAGTTATGATATCTCAAGTGATCAAACAAAGGTGGATAAATGGACATCAATTGAACATTTTTTTATTTTAATTCTAGTTCAATATACTCAACTGTCTTTTAGTTGTTTTTCTTGTTGTTTCTATGGAATTTTTAAATGAAAAAAAGAAATGTTTGATCCATTTCTCAATTCAAGTTACAGAAAGGACATACTTTCAGAGAAAAATCAAAGTCATGAACAATTTGTTTGAACCTCAAACCAAGAATGACAACTTTTACATTGAAGGTATGTTTAGTTTTAGTTTAGTTAATATTTTCTGATCATAAGTTTGAAATGTCACACTCCATCCAATGAGACGCAATTGATATAATGATGCTGTCAACAAACCAACTGACATATCAGTTCAATAGCTTCAGATTGTTTAAACTTCTAATCTATGTCTAATGTGAAATTATATGTATCCTTCAATAAACATATTAACTTTCTTTTAAACTCCTTAGGATCATTTCATTACTGGTATAATGTTTCACAGGTAGAAAGCTTAATGACAATTTAAAGTCAATTTATCTTCATTTATCCTTATATCTATATCTGTTTGAGGGAATAGAGAGGTTTATAGGAGCTCACATTTTAACTTTACATTCTAGAAAAATCTTAAATGAATACCACTCTATTTTAACATAAAATAAATCAAAAGAGGAAAAATTCAATTATTTTGTTATTTAGATAGATTAAAAAGAAGAAAGTCTATCTAAAAATGTGATTATGTAAAATTAATTAGGCTAGTAGACTCATATTAGACACCAGTTTAACAAACTAATGTAATTATAACTTGCTTAAAAATCTAGCTATTGAGCAATAAAGAGAAGACTGTAATCATACAATTATTTTGTCAGTTAAGAAAAAATACAAGTTCATTAAATTCTCATTTTCCATACAAAAATATAACACCAAATTATACAATAATTTATAAAATATTTAGGTGAAGATCTTCAATTACAATAACATACAGGGAAACATGTACCCTGACAGAATTGGATTTTAGTTACCAATAGTACATTACAAGGATTTTGCAAACACTTAAGTAGACTACTTCTGTCTTCAAACCTTTGTTAGTTTCAAAGTTTGCTGATGTTAAATAAGTGTATTTGAAAACCAGCTTCAAAACAGTACTAGTCCCAGACTTTGCATCAATTAGAATATAAATTTCCATCCAAGAAATTTAAAAAAAATAAAAGTCTGAAAGTTTGGCTGAATATCATCATCATCCATTTCAAAGTGACAATATGTGCAAAAGTTTATATTTTTATCAATACAAATTCAACCTAAGACTTAACTGCCATTTAGAAGCTGTATACCAATTTTCGTCAAAATAATGATTAAAATTCAGATTTACTGACAACAGGACAGTAACACAGTACATTTAACATACTGATATTATTTATTGATTTAAAGTATTTATTTTTCCATTTTTCAAGCCAGAATTAAGAGTCCAGATTCTTAGCAAATAACCATTAGCAACAATAACCAACATATTAACAGATTACATCAGAATATGAACCTAGCGTCTCAACGGAACCAATTATACACAGGCAGTTATTATTAACTGTCTGGCCGTCAAATCTCATGTAGTCATTTGATACCAGTCAAGTCTAGCAAGTGACAAAATGATGTAGCCCCCAAGTATTAAATATTACCTGTAAATTAAAATAGTACACAGAGATTTTGAATTCAATGACTTCATGCATATAAGAATAAAATTCATTTGAATTTGAAAACAGAAAATAATTTTAAGTTTGTGAGATCTTTTTGGTTTTAAAATTGGCTTAGTGAATAACCACATTCTATAAGGTCTGATGTTAAGGACAGATTGAGAACTATCTACCAAAGAGTTTTTCTGTCACCAGAAAATGTTAAATAATAGACCAAGATTAAAGTTTTCACAGCTTCAATTCTCACAGAATCAAAGACTTTGACAATAAACTTTAAGGCAGAAAGTTTAACTGTGTTTTGATCTACACTACTCCATTAACATTCAAGTTTAATGGGACATCAGATTCTATTCATTACAGCTATCCAAGGGAAACATTTAATTAAGAACATAAAATGCCAAATACTGTAAGTTTTATTGAAATGAAAAGTGAAAGCATCAGTGTTCTGACATTAAACGATTGTTGTTGGTGGAAATTAATAAAGATTTTATGAGAAACACGAAAGTTAGCTGTACTGTGTTTTAAAAGCTCTGGTTTACCATCAAATATTTATGGCTATCCTAATTTTATAGCTGATCAAACAGTAGAGATATGTAAAAAATAGTTTTTCGAGTATGATCAGAAATTCAAGACTGAATCTGGATATGAAGTGAAAACTTAATGAATAAAATTACCAATATTACACTTAAAAGGAAACTTTTCGAAAAAAAAGTCACAGACCTTATAAACAATCAAGAAATGGGTCTCAAGCAAGCAAGTCTTGTGTCATGACAAATTCTATGCTTAAAAAGAGACTCTATTCAATTACAAATGCAAACTCTACATAACATGCAAAATTTGCAGGAATTATTGAATAATACAGGAATTGTTCATACTATGTACTACTAAAAGTATTAAAAATTGAATGCTCTTCTATAGCCATATAGCTCTGCTGTAAGATAGACAGCCTATTTATAATACATCATATTATGAATAATGGTTTTATATCTTATCTTATCACCTTAACCTAGAATTGAGAAAAAAATCTGTCTCAATATGTGTTTTTGTAATATATTGTCTGCTTTGGTTCATATTTCCTTTTAGAATTAGATTGGATATATATTTCGTTTTTAACATGGATAAATCAATGTCTTTAAACAGGAAATGAACTTTTTCTTTCTCAGTATGTTTGTCGGAAGTCGAGACAACTTCTATGTTTCTTTCATCTTGAGTCTTTTCACAACAAGTTGACTTATTTCTAAAGAACCATGATGATCAATGATTTGACTACTGTTCAAACAGAGTGTTAAGCGTTCCACCTAGACAATTACTTGAAAAATTAGAAAAAGATTACATCATTTGTAATTTAAAGAACATGCAAAGATACTTTTAAAGGAATGCCAGATCAAAGCTTAAGAGTTCATCTTGTAAGGCGCTCTGAACTCTGTCACACCACTACTTTTGTACTTAAGCGTTTATAAGGCAATAGTAAATTCAAGTCTTATATAATCATTCAAAGGTTTACACTGTGTTTAATGGGTGTTTAATGGGTTTTTAATGGTAAATGAGCAAAATAACCCTAATGAGATTAGCCGATCACACATATTGAGAAACTTTAATTCTAAGATTGACTTCCAAATCTTATTATTAGAAATCAGAACAAGAGCAACTCTGATCACCAGGAATAGATCAGATTTGTCATGATGTCACAAGTTGCTGGTTGCAAGCTTGTCTTGTCTTGTCTTAAGCCCTTTAACTGTTATTGATCTATATATTATCACAGTAAAATATGGTATATTGATGTAAATATGAACATGATAATTGTTGTAAATACTGACATAATTAATTTAAATATTGACATTATAATTGTTGTAAATATTTACATACTTGATATTAATATTGATGTAATAATTGAAGTAAATATTGACATAATTGATGTGATAATTCACATAATAATTGTTGTAATTATTGACATGATAATTATTTTAAATATTGACATAAGTGATGTTAACATTGATGTGATAATTGATATAACTATTGATGTGATAATTGACGTAAATATTGATGTGATAATTTTTGTAAATATTGACATGATAATTGTTGTAAATATTGATATGATAATTGTTGTGAATATTGACATGATACAGATGATAATTGTTGTAAATATTGACATGATAATTGTTGTAAATATTGAAGAAATATGTTGAAATGTGTCAAAACAATTACTACACTGCTTTTTCGCATTATAGAAGAAACCACGTAGCCTTTTTAAAAAACTAGGAAATACATACTTCGCTTCAGTCTAAAGGCCAACATATGAAAATGGACTTTTATCTGGTTCATTAATGGAGGAATTCAATCCCTTTCAGTAACAACATTTGCCAGATCAGAATAATGAAAGTCATCAACAATCAATCTTTGTAAGTGAATATCAGATGACTTGTCTTCTTCTTAATAAGATACAGATACTGTCAAATTATTTATTTTATAGAGAGGTATCATGAGGATTTGTGGATTCAAATTCTAGGATCTTTAATTTAATTGCTACTCATATCCCATTATTATTGAAACAAATGTTAGTTACACAGTATAAGTTCTATTATACTTGAGGAAGAAAACCACAAAATATCAATGATTTCACAGGTATCTTAGCATTATTATGAAGAGTTTTCTTTTACACAAGACAATTTATGTATTTAAAACCTAATATTGAAATCATTCCTATATTTAGACATTTTATATAATATAAAG